GGCCCAAACAAGCCTGGTTTCCAGATCTTCTTCATCTGTCTTGTGCTCGTCCACTGGTTCTACCTGTACGACACAACCTTCTGTCCCAGTTCAAGGGCAAGATTCTACATCCCAATCCAGAGAAGCTACATCTGTTCGCGTGGCTTCTCTCAGGAATAGCTTCAAGGAGAGAGGTTTTTCTGAATGCGCAGCCAGACATCTCTCCCGAGCAGTTAGAGATTCCACTAACATCGTCTATGATGCCAAGTGGACTATCTTCAGTAGCTGGTGTAGTGAGAAGGAAATTGATCCTTTCAAAATTTCTGTACAGCAACTAGCAGACTTTCTGATCCACCTTTTTGAAGAGAAAGGATTATCTCCCTCTACAATTAAAGGCTTTAGATCAGCTATTTCTAGGACGATTCAACTGTCTGGAGGTCCAGACTTTGGTAATAATGAATTCATTTCTCTTTTAGTTAAGAATTTCACTTTTGAACGCCCTAGACAGAGAGTTTTAATCCCGTCTTGGAATTTGAGTGTAGTTTTATCAGCTTTAAAAACCCATTCTTTTGAACCTGCTGAAAAGGTTGAAATCAAGTTTTTATCGTATAAGTGTTGTTTTCTACTTGCCTTAGCCTCTGGTAGAAGAAGAAGTGAAATTCATGCGTTTTCCACTGCTGATTACTGCCTTCGTTTTAATAGGGATAAGTCAACTGTTACTCTATTAACGGATCCAGCTTTTTTAGCCAAAAATCAAATTCCGAGCAGAGGTTCAGAACCGATAGTGATTCCAGCCCTTCCTGATGATTCAAGTTCTAAAGTACTCTGTCCTATCCGAGTCTTACTTTTATATCTTCAGAGAACACAGAGTCTCCGCACCTCCTGAAATTCCAGGTTTAACTTATTTGTTCCTATTTACAAAGGAAAACAAGATTTGTCTGCTAAAACCATTTCAAATTGGATCTGTAAAACTATTCGATTAGCTTACAATTCTTCTAATGAAGAACTTTTGAATAGTATGCATGTTAAAGCCCTTGATGTTAGAGCTATTTCCACCTCCTGGGCCCTTTTTATTAACGCTTCTTTAGAGGAAGTCTTATCTGCAGGTTTTTGGAGAACCTCTCACTGTCTGCAGTCTTTATCTACTCAAGCTCAGAGTTTGTACTACTTAGGACCTTTAGTTTCCGCACAAAGAGTTGTTTTTCCTCCTGCATCTTCTGGTTCAGGGGATTCAGCTTTGCGTTAGATTCTATATTTTACTCAGAATTTATGATGGTAACGTATTTATTGACATAAAATTGTTCATTTTTAAAGTAAAATGAGATTTTATTAAATAAATACTTACCATCATAAATTAAAGGTCCCTCCCAACCTCCCCTTCATCCCCTGTTTTTTTCCTGGGGCTTCTTGCTTACTTTAGGAAATTAAATGGATGATATAAAGGCATGGTTATACGGGCACTGCTTGGTCATCCCTCTTCTCATTGGATATTTTTATTTGGGGTTTTCCGCCTGTCAGACTTGCGCAGATGGATGTACTCAGAATTTATGATGGTAAGTATTTATTTTATAAAATCTCATTTTACTTTAAAAATGTACAATTCCGTGTTGCCGCCAAACAATATTCCTACGCCTTTTGCCATTTGGGAAATGTAAACGACTTGTATTAAGAGATTTTCGGCGATTAAATATTTCATGCAATTGTTCTTTGACATCTTAACCAAAAGCACACGGGATGAATAAACAATGTACGAATTTCTGTAGAGCACTATTTCTTATGTGCAACGTCAATTCTTTTACGTTGTTCGACGATCAATTAAGGTTATTCTGGTCATATTTTTTGTATTCCAGAATTAAAAGTATGAAAAAAGTGTCCAATTAGTTATAAATAACCTATTAGTCTGCTAGATAACAACAATGGCACCTATTTCTGTATTCTTTAAGAAAAAGGCAAATCGAGGGTGCTAGCATATGGCAGTTTAACTGCCAACAAAAACCTTAATATTACCAGTTATGAAGTATGACAAATATTTGCATATTCTGAATGAAAAGAGAGAGAGGGGAATTCTAAACACTTCGACACCAAGAAAAATCGGCACGAGAACATTTCGGCACATGTAAAAGACATTTTTTGCACCCGAGAAAGACGTTTCGGTATCAAGACAAATGGTCACCCAAAATGACAAAAGCTGAAAATTTGTTATAAACAATTGCCATAATATTTGTTCCTGCTGGAACAAATATTCTAATCCCTTTATTCCGTAAGGAACAAATATTAAAGTATAAAAAGTATTTGTTGCAGGTGGAAATAATCCCCATCTATAAAGTTTAACACAAGCTGTGCACTTTAGATATTCGTTGCGAAAAACTACAATTACCCTTTTTTTTTAGAATCGTAGAGATCACACAATATCCATCTACAAACACAAGCTGTGCAATTTTGATCTTCACTGCTAAAAACTTTAGAGGTATTCTGTTTTCTTTATAATTGTATAGAGAACAAACTATCACCATCTACGAACATAATCAAGTTTGGTTTAGGTTATTTTATTGCAAATATATTGTTTCTTTTATAATCATAGTGAACATAAATAAAAAGCAACTGTATAGAAAAAAATGAAGGGCCAAATTGTCTTGGTCCCCAAATGTCCTGATACCGAAATGTTCGAAACGCTGACTAATTGTCTTTTGAACAGAGTGCCGAAATGTCTTGATGCAGTACGTAGTGTCTTGTTACCAAGAGAAAGATGTCTCACGACGAAGGAGAAACATAATGGTGTTACTCTGCTTGTCAATTTGTCTATGTAACACTTTATGAACACTTTATATCTCGGGCTGTTTGCAGACAAGCTTTCACATTCTTCGTGAATTTTTTTTCATCATGTGTAGATCAATTTGGTCTACAGAAGAATAATTATTTTGTTATATGTGCTGTTCAAAACCTTCATAATAATTGTATACAAATAAGATGTGATATTATTGCCAATGAGACAAATTTCCACAGAAGACCAAAGGACAAAGATTATCGGTAAATAACTACAGGTGAATTTACAAAGATTGTTTTTCATTATACATTGTATAACATACCATATCAACAATTTGATTTGACAGTTTTTGCAGGAGTTATGGGACTCTAACCATTTTGGTCTACTGTACTATAGAATAATGACACCTTGTGAACACAGCTTCTATTCTAAGGCCATTTGTTTGAATGATTTCATACTAAGTCAGATGGGTTGTCATTATGTATAGTTGACACCTTGTAAACACAGCTTCTCTTCTAAGACCATGTGTTTGAATGATTTCATACCAAGTCAGATTGTTTTTCATTGTGTATAGTAGCCCATATTGTATTGGAAATCTTGTTAAATTGTTGTGGTAGTTATGGGATTTTGACCATTTGGGCCTTTTGCGTCATGACATTTTGTGAATGCTACTCCTTCTAGGCCATGTTATTGAAAGCTTTGATACTTTGTGAGATTTCTTTCATTGTGCAGTAAGAGATGAATTGTATGTCTTTTGTGTAGTTGACCATACCATATTGACACTTTTTTGAGACAATTTTTGCAGCAGTTATGAGACTTTGACCAGTTTTGGCTAACTAGCAACTTTACATACCATGCATGCTACTTTTATGTAACATCTGCCATTTTTCCAAGTACATTTTTTATGAACTAGTACTGTAAGTCATCATGAGTGGTTGACCATACAATACCACCATTTCAATTTGATTTTGGCACTAGCTATGGGGATTTATTACTTAACTTAGCTTTTCTTGCATGCAAGCACCTCATAAATGATTTAATATGACAGCATATTTTCCGTGTATGAAAATAAATATTCTTACAATGAATAACCTTCTTATTTAGTTTACTCTTGTGACATACATTACAGTTCAAAAACATTAGGACAAATTAGATTTTGAAAAATATCAAACAATACTCTCCTTTTGATTACAATACAATGACTTCTAGATGTCTTCTTCTTGTTTTTGTTGATCCTTTACAGTCTCATTGATATAAATCCCACATCTAATTTTAAATATATTGCCTCCCCAAATAATGTATTTATTCACCTTCCTGTCTTCAGCTATTGAAAGTGCATATCAAAAATACCTTGATTTTATCAATCCTTAATGTTTGAAGAAATTTCAAAATTCTGGGTTAAGAAATTACTTTGAGTGGATAACAATTGCTAGCATGTTTTACTATCATTTTGGATTGTTTGTAAGTTTTCAAATGATAAACTTTAAATAATTGTTTTATCTAAGAAACAACACCAATGCTTTAAATCTTACATTTCATACTATTGAATGGATAATTGTTCGGTTTTTAAATTTCTTTGAAATGTGATATTGCAGCTAGTGTAGATGAAAACCCTGTCTAGCCTAATGAAATATAACCCTGGAATCTACAATAGCTGAGTCAATACCATTGCTGGTGGACATTTCATCCTCGAAAAAATCAGCAGTGCTGGCTTAAAATATCAAAGCAGTCATTTTAGTAAATTAACTATTACAAAAATGTTAAAATCATTCTAAACACTTAGATTTTTTTCTATCCCCAGGCATGTTTAGTTTGAACCATTTTTGGAATTTAAATCTTTCAATGCTCCTCAACTTTGTAACTTATTTAGCCTACAGACTGTTTAGATTTGATAGCCATTAATGAGACTTATTTAGACGTAATGTACATCTGGCATACTAAATGATAAGTTGATGATACTTATTTAGACATAATGTACATCTGGCATACTAAATGATAAGGTGGTGAGACTTATTTAGACGTAATGTACATCTGGCATACTTAATGATAAGGTGATGAGACTTATTTAGACGTAATGTACATCTGGCATACTTAATGATAAGGTGATGAGACTTATTTAGACGTACTGTACATCTGGCATACTAAATGATAAGGTGATGAGACTTATTTAGACATAATGTACATCTGGCATACTAAATGATAAGGTGATGAGACTTATTTAGACGTAATGTACATCTGGCATACTAAATGATAAAACTTGTCTTTAGTTAGTTTTTATTGTTGTGATATAGCCCTATCATCACTGACACAACATTTTACATCCATCCAACATTCAATCAGTATCAAATGGAATAGCCCCTTTTACACAACCATATAAAATGCTTCGCTGGGGCGCAGCTTGATACAACCGCAGAGGTCGAACCCTGAACAGTTGGGGCAAGTATGGACACAACATTCAAGCTTGATACAGCTCTGAATTTGGATTGTGATTAAATATTTGACACAGCATAGGTTTCTGACACAGAAAGAATGTGGTCTAAGAACTTGAATTTTTTTAATTAGCCTATTATGGTCCAATGTCCAAAATCAAAATACATGGTTAGATTCAGCATATCAAAGAACCCCATATATTCAATTTTTGTTAAAATCAAACAAAGTTTAATTTTGGACCCCAACTTGGACCAACTTGAAAACTGGGCCCATAATCAAAAATCTAAACACATGTTTAGATTCAGCATATCAAAGAACCCCAAGAATTCAATTTTTGCTAAAATCAAACTAAGTTTAATTTTGGACCCTTTGGACCTTAATGTAGACCAATTTAAAAAACGGGACTTAAAATTAAAAATCTAAATACACGGTTAGATTTGGAATATCAAAGAACCCCAATAATTCAATTTTTGATGAAATCAAACAAAGTTTAATTTTGGACCCTTTTGACCTCAATATGAACCAATTTGATAGCGGGGCCCACAAATAAAAAATCTAAATTCATGGTTAGATTCAGCATATCAAAGAACCCCATATATTCAATTTTTGTTGAAATAAAAAAAAGTTTAATTTTGGACCCCAACTTGGACCAACTTGAAAACTGGGCCCATAATCAAAAATCTAAACACATGTTTAGATTCAGCATATCAAAGAACCCCAAGAATTCAATTTTTGTTAAAATCAAACTAAGTTTAATTTGGACCCTTTGGACCTCAATGAAGACCAATTTAAAAAACGGGACCCAAATTAAAAATCTAAAAACACGGTAAGATTTGGCATATCAAAGAACCCCAATAATTCAATTTTCGATGAAATCAAACAAAGTTTAATTTTGGACCCTTTTGACCTCAATATGAACCAATTTGATAGCGGGGCCTACAAATAAAAAATCTAAATACATGGTTAGATTCAGCATATCAAAGAACCTCATATATTCAATTTTTGTTGAAATCAAACAAAGTTTAATTTTGGACCCCAATTTGGACCAACTTGAAAACTGGGCCCATAATCAAAAATCTAAATACATGTTTAGATTCAGCATATCAAAGAACCCCATATATTCAATTTTTGTTGAAATCAAACAAAGTTTAAATACTGGACCCTATCTTGGACCAACTTGAAAACTGGGCCCATAATCAAAAATCTAAACACATGTTTAGATTCAGCAAATCAAAGAACCCCAAGAATTCAATTTTTGTTAAAATCAAACTAAGTTTAATTTGGACCCTTTGGACCTCAATGTAGACCAATTTAAAAAACAGGACCCAAAATTAAAAACCTAAATACACGGTTAGATTTGGAATATCAAAGAACCCCAATAATTCAATTTTAGATGAAATCAAACAAAGTTTAATTTTGGACCCTTTTGACCTCAATATGAACCAATTAGATAACAGGGTCCACAAATAAAAAATCTAAATACATGGTTAGATTCAGCATATCAAAGAACCCCATATATTCAATTTTTGTTGAAATCAAACAAAGTTTAATTTTGGACCCCAATTTGGACCAACTTGAAAACTGGGCCAAAAATCAAAAATCTAAATACATGTTTAGATTCAGCATATCAAAGAACCTCATATATTCAATTTTTGCTAAAATCAAACAAAGTTTAGTTTTGGACCCTTTGGACATTAATGTAGACCAATTTGAAAACTGGACCCAAAATTAAAAATCTAAATACACTGTTAGATTCGGCATAACAAATAAATAAATGTGATCAAAGATTTTACAAATCTAATGCGCCATACTGTGCAATTAAAGATTACTTCTTGAAATTTTTCAATATTTGAAATTTGAAAAAAAAATAATATTTGAAGAATAATTCTTTTTAATTTCTGAAATCTGAAATGAGAAAAAATTGGCCCTCCACAATTTCTTTTTATCCCCCCCCCCCTTTTTCCCCCAAAAAAATTCTTTCCCTCAAGATATGGTCATAATCTCAATTCAAATTTCCAATGGAGTTGGCAACCATAATTACCCATTTAAATTTACCATAGTGCTAACTTAATCTATTTTATAATAGAATTAATAAAAATATAGTGTCAAATCTTTCATATGGATTTTTTTGTAAAAAAAAAAGATGAAAACATTTACAGATATTTTTACTGGTCTTCCTTTATAAATATGCATTTCTTTAAACATAATTTAAAAGCAGTGTAAGGGAAGTAACCAAAACATTGTATTTGGATTACCTCCCTTACACTGTTTTAGATTATCTTTATTGTTCATTAACCATTACTTTATACATAATTTAAAAGCAGTGTAAGGGAGATAATTTCAATGATGTATTTGATTTATCTCCCTTACACTGCTTTAAATTATGTTTTGTACTAAAGTATTTGTCCATTAACCAGGACAACCTTGTTTTTCCCCCTTTTTTGCCCCTAATTCCTAAACGGTTTGAGGCATAACCCCCCAAAGCAAATCCTAACCATCCCTTTGTGGTATGGAAACTTGTAGTATAATTTCAGAGAGATCCATACACCGTTCCACAGTTATTGTCTGGAAACTAGAAAATGCTCATTTTTGGCCCCTTTTTGGCCCCTAATTCCTTAACTGTTGGTACCATAACCCCCAAAATCAATCCCAACCTTCCTTTTGTGGTATTTAACCTTATGGTCAAATTTCAAAAAGATCCATTCACTTAAACTAAAGTTAGAGTGCGAAAACCAATATGTATTCGGACGACGACGACGACGACGCCAACGTCATACCAATATACGACCACAAAATTTTTTTGCGGTCGTATAAAAACCAGGAGTCCTTATAAGGGATTTGTTGGTGGTCTAGCAGGGCAGAAAAAAACATTCAATGTTAGATTTATAAAATATTTAATTTCAGTCTGTTTGAAAAACTTAAGAATTTAACTTAGAATCACACATGAATAAATAACGATAAATCATGATGCCTATCCCAAGCAATGAAGAAAACATTACAAACAAGAAATCTATGCAAAGGCCATTTTTTGTATATGGTCTTGGCACCTTTAGACAATAACAATGTGCCAATCCCAATACACCTTTTGTGTGTTCTTACATATAGCTTGCATACATAATTAAGCATTTTTAAAATACAACACCTGGTTTGTGACAAATGTCTACATTATTCATCTGATTATATGCAATAATGCGAGGAGAAAAACATGAGTACATTTCTGTCATTTTTCTCCTGAAATTGATCTTTTATCTAATAAAAACCACCAAAAAAAACAAACCTAAGAATATATATTGTTGCGCACAGAGTGAGAGTAAATGTTGCTCAGATAGTACTTAATTCGGAAAAAACATTTCTACAAATCCTAATGCATGTACCGTTAGTTTAATGCATGTACCGTTTGTTTATAATTATTTTAGAATAAGACACTATATACATTCAATATTGTAGTTTTAAGTTTTGAAATAACAGAAAAAGAGAAAGCTCTGTCATCATCTTGCTCTTCACATAAATACTAGAGATTATGAGCGAGAACCTAACAAATACTCAGGAAACTTATGGAACTTCTATCTGTTTATTATAACTCATTCTGTTTGAACAATTAGCAAATTTAAAGATTTATAAACAGTTGCTGTTCTCGTCAGTGGACTCATTATGCTATTGCAAATAGGAAATAAAATAAAACACATGCATAGGGACTTTTAAAGAAACATACAAATGAACGATTTCTGATAATTAAACAGACAATAATTTTATAACAGACTGAAATATTACATCAATATTTTACATGTACATCTTTATTTATCATAGCTATCAAATGAATGTATTGTCGTTTCTCAGTTTATATAAAAACATCATTTATAAAATTTGTATTTACAATAGAACCTTTAAGGTGTGCCAGTACATATGAAATGTTACTGAAGACTCTCATCATTGTCCTTTCTTCTTGATATACCATTGAAATACATACTTTCTGGCTTGCTAGTTAATGTTGGATAAAACTTATATATTAAGGAAATAGCCAGGTCTGTATAAGAAAGAAAAAAGTTAGGGCGTTCATGACAATAACACTTGATAAATTGTAGAAGCAATTTTCTGGATTAACCTTCATCAGGAATCCTTAAACCCTAAAATTTGAAATTCAAGGATGAATAAATACTTCAATATTGGCAGGAGTATTACTACCAGAATGGACCTATAGAGAATGGCCAAACCCATCTATTAAAGGAGTGTTATAAATTTAAAGATGAAATACCAACAGATCACACAACTATAGTAAGTCTAAAACACCTATATTTATCCATATCATTATAACCAAAGTTCATTAATAAAAAATAAAAGTGTTTTATGAACAGGGTACTTAAAAAAAATTTACCTTTAAAATAATTATATAATCCGAATTATGGTTTTGTCTTCATATTTACTCTGCCATTACCATTATTAATTACTGTTTTAAGCATATAATATACCGGGGGAAGCATTTTTAAAATAGAAAAATTCATCAAAGCAATTTCAAGTATTTTTTTAATGGGAGAAAAAAAAATTCCAGAAATGGTGGCATATTGATACATCAACCAAAAGCAGCAATTTGAAAAGTGCCTTCAATGAAGACAAACATTTTATTTTGGAATGCTAAATAGCAGATTGTAATAAAACTACAAAATTATCTCCGAACAACAAAACAATACAGATCTACTTGTCAAGTAAGTTAATCAGACAAGGGCAGACAAATGCAAGCAAAGATTTATGTATGTAAGACTATAGCATCATTTAAATTTAAAATTCATAATGAATTATTATGGTTATTTAAAGTATATAATGTAAAGAAGAATAATTGAACAAATTTGAAAATGTTATATTTTCAGTAAATGTTGCATAATCCATAAAGCACAATACACATTACAACTGTTGAAAGTTTCAAATGAAATACTGTCTACAATATCATCATAAAAACTTCAGATTAATATCCACAACATTTATTGTGTTTCATCTGCCTTTTGAATGTAACAAGGCATCTTTGTGTGTAAACTATGTTTTCAAGACCAATGCAACATTTGACTAGAAAGAATAACCCTTCAAACTTCAAAATAACATTGATGATGTTATGATATATACAATGATCAGATACCTGTATCTATTTACAAATCACAAAAAAAATACAACTGTTCATTCACCTTTTATAATTAGATGACATTTGAAGCACATCGTTTCAACAAATGCATAATTTGCAGACAACATTTAAAGAAATTTCACTTTTCCTGTTATAAGAGAGCACATACATAGATAACTGCAGATTTTCTTATTACAAATACAAATCAATTATAAAATTTTCTTATTTAAAGAAACTCAATTAATTTACTGACAAATGAAATTAATTTGTTATATAAAAAAATAGTTTGAAAATGACTTGATCGTAAATGGAAGCATAATAATGTTAAAAGGAAATATAGAAATCAAAGGAAGAAGAGTAAAAATTAATGTCCCCAAAACATTAAACCGATATGAAACATAGAAGTACATAAAACTGTACTCTACTCAAAATACTTAAGCAAATAAATAATCTACACATGAAGTCAATGTACCCAAACATGAGAGGAACACAAAACATTGCCTGTTAGTAATAAAGTTTCTGTTATAAGTACCTATACAATAAATGTTTATATGTAGTGGTCTCAGTTGGCAGGATTTTCTAAAATATTTGATGTTAATAACAATAGGGTATGTCTTATAACAGTAATCCATATGATCTTTCAAACCTCAACTGCATCCAATAATCTCCAACGAAGAACAAAATCTCAACATCCCCAAAAATGTTTACATTTTTTCTCTTAAATTTCAACTTCATTACTAGTTTCACCTCTTTATACAACCAAAATCAAAATGTTCATGTGTTCTAATGTAAAATTACCACAGCTTAATAGTTTTGATCATTGTGTAGTAACATTACAATAAATCTTTTTATCAACAAAAAAGGGTAAAATCTGATCTATGAAATGTTTTTGTATTCCTTTCCTGTTAAGATTATGCCCATGAAATCTCTATCACAAACAAAGCATGATATGTGTGAACAATCAGAAGAAAATCAATCATATCCTACATCTAAAACAAAATTATAACCTAAATTAATTTGTTATGTTGATTGGAAGCTGTTTTATTTTCTGGAGTATTTATTAAATGAATATACAAATCAATTTGCATTCATTGCAAGAATCCAGTTAGTTATGTCCAGAAACTTGGAAGTTGGTCTTAGAACAATTAATTTGTATCTCTACCTATTTTCATTCCACAGAGTGTTGTTACATGCTGTTTAATTCTCTCAACAAATATTACTAAAAACTTCAACTGAGTTTAAAATTCTTCATATTGTAACACAATTGTGTATTTCAAGTAAAATTTGAAGTATAAAAACTGGTTTGAAAACAAAATTCAATACAACATATGCTTATTCAGAATTAAAATCAGAACAGCCAAAGCAACTTCATGCATTTAAGTATAAAGCAAATTCAACATGCAATAATACAAACTGATGGATAAATTTACCATAAAAAGGGAGATAATATGCTGCCCCAAATACTTTCAGGAACCAGCATCTTTTATAGTTGACAAAAGCCTTTTGAACTATATTGAAGAAAGTGTAATTTTTTAATCAATGTATTATTTATTTCCTAAATCACCTGACAAACTACACATCCTCATTCAGAAAACATTCATGCATAGACCAAACAATGATACACACCAAATACAACTTAAAAGAAGAGTTAATTACAGTTTTCTAAGCTTTCCTCAAGTAGTTTCAAAAAGCTATGTACAATATATATATATATATATTAAACAACAACATAACAAAACAAAACCTATCTGACTTCAACTAAACAAACTATCTAATAAAATCATGTATCTGTTAATGTAGCAATTAATTATTTGGGGTTTATTGGAGTTTTTTTCCAGTTCTAGTTCTTAACAATGCATGAATACTTCAAATTTTAATCATATGAAATGTTTTGGTTTTTTTTTGCATATTAAGCTTCGGAAAAAAAACACAACATGTATTCAAGTTATGTCAACAAAAGTAAAATATATTTCATTAATAGTACATAATACATAGCTATGAAAGTGTTTCATTCATCAATGATAATTACAAAAAAATCATGCAATTTATAAAATTAAAAAAAAATAATAATAACTTTAACGCTGTTTTCTATTGGTCTGTTGGTAAATATTCTATTTCTGAAGTTTTGCAAGATCCCCTCACTAAACCTTTTATTGTCATTTCCTGTGTATTTCTGAATTTTGTAAGATCCCCTCACTAAACCTTTTATTGTCATTTCCTGTGTATTTCTGAAGTTTTGTAAGATCCCATCACTAAACCTTTTATTGTCATTTCCTGTGTTCAATCATACAACAAAAAAATCCGGATTCAAAAACTTACCCTGTATGGTATAGTTTTTGTCAATTATTTTGAAAGAGAAATTTTTTAAACCTTCAAAATATCTAAAAAGTCCAATATAACATACTAGCAGTAAGTCCTGCAATGGAGACAGACCCTCCAATTAATAGCATTCAACACCACATTTACATAGTAAAACAAATGTTGATCATGATCTGACTATAAGTTTGTATAGTTGAAGTTAGATAAGACAACAATAATTAACAATTAAGATCACAGTAATGTAGAGGTAACAACCATTTTCATGATTATCCCACCAATCAGAATCATTTAGAACTCGTATCCCACAATTCTCTACAAAATACCAATCTGGAGAGGTTTTTTATGAATGAATTACACCGGTTGACCTGACGTCAATCGGCTAAAACGATGTCATTGAACAATCGGTTCTTACTGTGGCTTATAACATAAGCATTGTGACATAGGAAATTTACAGGAAAGTTCATGAATTCGAAAGTTGTCTATTGATTTTACTATTTCCTGTAGCCATTTTTAGGTAAGATTTATTTTTCAATTGCCAGATTAAAGCTTATTTTTGCAAATTATCTAGTTCAAGCACTGGGAAAAGGCACCTTATTAATACTTGGTAATGAAATAAAATAAAATTTCAATTAGTACCTGAGAGATAGAATCAGCAGTCAAAAAAGGAAGTCCTAATATCTAAAACCAATTTCTGATGACACTTAAAAACAGATCATTTAATTTTAATTAGTAATAGTGACGAAAGGCTTTTTAATCAGCTGGCAAGCAAACCAGTATGAGATTGGCAAGCACATAAATATGAGAATGCAGTACTAAAAAATCCTATTTAGCAGAATAATATGAACATTCTGATATTTCTACCAAATCAGACTATATTTCCTTGTATTTTTACAACCAAGATCAACCATACAATATTATCCTAAAGCTCAGTAGAAATATTATCTCTTAAACAACACAAGTTTACTACAACAACAAAATCTGAAATGTACAAAATCTATGTTTTAGCTTAAGAAAAAAAGTGAAAAAACCTTTCATTCTAAATTGCTCAGCTTTTTCTCTATATTAAGTTGAAATTATATCTTATTGTCAAAAGATTTTTTTCAAAGTTGAAAAAACCAAATCAAATCAATTGCAAAACAAAATGCCACATCAATCACCGAGAACTTCTTACTCTATTATAGTCCAATTTAAGGTAAACATATGGAATCATACAATTACCATGCACAGAAATACAAGAAAATAGGTCTTTGGTTTTTTGGCTTGTGCCTCTAACATTAAATTTCATATTGTTTACAATGTTTTAGAAAGACTATGAGTTCCTCTTCTCATTCTTGTCCAAATCCTTCAGTTTCTTCTATTGCTAGCGTCAGTTTTTCTACTAATTGTTCGTAACTTCTGTATGGAGGAAGATCCAGCCGATTAAAACATGTATGACTTCTAGGCAGCCATGTTTCCTTTCCTACTTTCTCTATACAAAACCTCTGTGGTCCATTGCTCCCTACAAAATTATTCAGATTGTGTATTTATACTTTTTTATTGAATACATAAAAATAGACTACTGTGAAAGTACTTTTATTTGTGGGGTACAAATTTTCCTTGTTTTCTTGGATGGCTTTATCCACGAATTTAAGTGTCCAACGAAATATAACCACTGTTGTCCAAATCAGGACATGGAAAGTTCCCAATGTAGATTTGACTACATGTATACGAGCATATAATTTAAAGAATACATCCAATTGCAGCAAACTCACTTTGAACTAGATAACTTCAGACAGGATTTAACCTTTCTAATCTTTAAAAACCTAAACTGATTATATATAGTACAACTTTTAACCTTTCATGAAAAATTAGTTTTGATCCATGAAAGTCAGACTTTCGGTGATGATAAGCGATGATGAAGTGTTCATTTTATCTCCTCATAATACTCATGAGAAAAAAAAAATTCATATTAAGCTTTCTTTTTTATTTCATAAGAATTAATTCTTCAACTCAAAAGTACATTTGTAGCATTTGTTTTAGGTAACCGTTTCTGTAAGTGACATGTTTATGGCCTGATTAACACCTTTGATGATTGTTAGTTTGTTGATCCTTCCATTCAGGTTAACTTGTGTCATCACTTCTAATTACATGTGTGTTATAATCAAAATGTTTACTTTATAATTTCCTTCAATCAAGACAATAGACCACTTTCGAGTTTGTCCTTCACCGGAAAAAACTCGTCAATTATGCACGCCTTTATGACGTCATTTACCAGATAGAGGGGATCGCCTGTATCCCTGCACTATTAACGTTCATCAAGCGTCTTAGTGATCATCCTTGTGCAGGATAAACTAGAAATAATGTTTGTTCTGTAGGTACTTAATCACTATTTTCTAATGACAGCAGTGCTGATTGTCAATTATGAGAATTCAATTTTCTGAATAATACGTGCAATATAGCATCATAGTTTTCCAACCACTCGCTCAACATGGGAACGGAAGTGACGATGCCCCGAAACGCACGAATGATGTTCACTAAAACAAAGTTTTTGACGGAAATGCATCGAACTCGAAAGTTGTCTATTTGTAGGCATAGATGAATCAGCTTATTTCAGAAAGCTATTATTTTATTCATAATTTGACGAATATTATCAGTAATAAAACATGAACGTTGTAAGTGGAAATGAACACCTTATTTTGCAATGTCCCACAAATCATTATAAAACAACATAAGATTTTTTTCAAGAATCTTTGTTTCTGATGGCTTCAAATTCTTCACTAGATTTTTTCAGAAAACTGTAGCTAAAATCCATGAATTTAAGAACCAACGAACATGTAACTTTTGATCAAACCATGAAAATTGATACCCACGAATAAAAGTACTTTCACAGTATAGCAATAACTGTATTAAAATTGAAACCAGTTGTTTCAAGAAACCTAAATGAAATTACTGACAAAAAAATTCGTAAGGGTTCCGCGGAACCCAGTGTCTCGCCTACTTTTGGTGTTATTCGCAGGCTCAACAAAAATGAGGAAAAAAATTAATAAAAATATTCCTCTCTATACTATCTTTTGATTGTAAGTAGCTTCTGTCCAAGTTTGGTAAAAATCCAGGATAATTTATGAATCTAATAAATGTTTTAAAAACTTAAACTGCAGAATGTATGTAATGTTGACTGGAAGAAAAACTAAGTCCATTTATAAGTAAAATACGGAAAAAATGGAACAAAATTTTATCAAAATTTCCTTCTAGATACTAGCTTTTGATCATAAACAAGCTTCTGTCCAAGTGTGGTACAAATCCAGGATAGTTTAAGAAAGTTGTTAAAATTTTAAAAACTTTAACCACAGAGTGAATGTAATGTTAACTGGCAGAAAAACTAAGTCCATTTATAAGTAAAATACGGAAAAAATGGAATTTTTTTTTTACAAAATTTACTTCTGGATACTATCTTATGATCATAAACAAGCTTCTTTCCCAGTTTGGTAGAAATCCAGGATAGTTTAAGAAAGTTATTAAAATTTCAAAAACTTTAACCACAGAGTGAATATTTGTGGATGCCGCCGACGACGACGAGGGAATGTAGGATCGCTTTGTCTCGCTTTTTCGACAAAAGTCGAAGGCTCGACAAAAACCTTTATCACAACAAAATTTTTATAAACTTATATTTCTCATAAACTTGATCTTTATGTGTGTGTAACTTAGTTTGTATGGGATAAGTTTCTTCATGAATGTGGTAAATCAAAATATAGACATTGAAAAGGACATACAGAAGATGAGAATCACATTTTCAGTTATGAAATCTTTGCTTTTTTATTTAGTAAATTTCTTTGATTTTTTTTATAATCCTATAGCTATACAGGCTATACTAAATATCCATTTTCATTCATGAATCTGATACTGGTTCCTTACCCATAAGTTCCATAAATCCACCAACAGGGAGTCGACATGTACCAGTTACAAACTGTAACAACCTGGTTCTTTTTTCGTTGTCAATATCTCTCACAAACTAAAATGTAAAAAAACTCATAGAGAAATGTGAGAACTGTCAGATGAGGTAGGTAAAGCCATATAGTATATTCCTAAAATTCTAACAATTCTTGAAATAATTAAAAATATTCCAAATTCCAATAAAATGCTCCGCAGGGCGCAGCTTGATACGACCGCAGAGGTCGAACCCTGAACAGTTGGGGCAAGTATGGACACAACATTCAAGCTTGATACAGCTCTGAATTTGGATTGTGATTAAATATTTGACACAGCATAGGTTTCTGACACAGAATGAATGTGGTCTAAGAACTTAAAAATTTTAAATTGGACATTCACCTATTATGGTCCAATATCCAAAATCTAAATACATGGTTAGATTCAGCAAATCAAAGAACCCCAAGAATTCAATTTTTGATGAAATCAAACAAAGTTTAATTTTGGACCCTTTTGACCTCAATGTGGACAAAGTTGATAACGGGGCCCAAAAATCAAAAATCTAAATACATGGTTAGATTCAGGATATCAAAGAACCCCATATATTCAATTTTTGTTGAAATCAAACAAAGTTTAATTTTGGACCCCGATTTGGACCAACTTGAAAACTGGGCCCATAATCAAAAATCTAAATACATGTTTAGATTCAGCATATCAAAGAACCCTAAAAATTCAATTTTTGTTAAAATCAAACTAAGTTTAATTTTGGACCCTTTGGACCTTAATGTAGACCAATTTGAAAACGGAACCAAAAATTAAGAATCTAAATACACGGTTAGATTCGGCATATCAAAGAACCCCAATAATTCAATTTTTGATGAAATCAAACAAAGTTAAATTTTGGACCCTTTGGACCTCAATGTGGACCAATTTAAAAACGGGGCCCAAAATCTAAAAACTTAATACACGGTTAGATTCAGCATATTAAAGAACCCCAAGAATTCAAGAATAAAACTCCATTGAAATCGATCAAGAAATAAGCAATTTATACGAAGTATCTTCTTTAGCACAATACTGTGCAATTGAATATTTCTTGCTATTGTGCAATACTGTACAATTGACAATTTCTTGCTATTGCGCAATATTGTGCTATTGGATATTTCTTGTTATTGCGCAATACTGTGCAATTGAAGATTTCTTGCTATTGCGCAATACTGTGCAATTGAAGATTTCTTGCTATTGCACAATACTTATTATATAATAATTTACACATCCTGTTTGGTGTGTATCTCCTACCATATCATTATTATTTGCTTTTAAATATTAATCAGAAATAACCAACTTAAAATGGAAAATTTTAAAAGAAAAAAAAAAGGAAAAAAAGAAAAAAAAAGAAAAAAAAAAATCCCCCCCCCCAAATTTTTTTGAACCCCCTTATGATTCATCACCCCAAACTCAATCCCAGCCTTCCCTTTGTGGTATGGTACCTTGAAGTACAATTTCAGAGAGATCCATACACTTGAACACAAGTTATTGTCTGGAAACTATAAAAATGCTTATTTTTGGCCCCTTTTTGGCCCCCAATTCCCAAACGTTTCGGGCAATTACCCCCAAACTCAATTCCAGATTTCCCTTTGTGATATGGAACCTTGTAGTACAATTTCAGAAATATCCAAACACTTACACACAAGTTATTGTCATGAAACTAGAAAAATTCTTGTTTTTTGCCCCTTTTTTGGCCCCTAGTTCCTAAAATTTTGAGGCAATTACCCCCAAAATCAATTACAGCCTTCCCTTTGTGATATGGAACCTTGTGGTACAATGTCAGAGAGATCCATAAACTTACACACAAGTTATTGTCTGGAAGTTACAAAAATGCTTATTTTTGGCCCCTTTTTGGCCCCTAATTCCTTAACTGTTGGTACCATAACCCCCAAAATCAATCCCAACCTTCCTTTCGTGGTATTGAACCTTATGGTAAAATTTCATGGAGATCCATTCACTTAAACTAAAGTTAGAGTGCGAAAACCAATGTGTCTTCGGACGACGCCAGATGACGACGACGACAACGACGCCAACGTCATACCAATATACGACCAAAAAATTTTTAATTTTTGCGGTCGTATAAAAACATGAAATATCACATATCTTTAAAAATAAAACAAATATATAATGCCAAAAGTTTAGCAGTTGTCTCCCTTTGAATGTAAAGCATATTAAAACAAAGATGACATTTTTTCCAGTAATAAATCAATTTACAGCATAAGGAATGAGTTTAACCAGATATTCAGTGCTACACATTTGTATAATATGTATATTTATTGATTTTAGTTATCCATGTTCCAACAAAATTAATTTGGATTTAGAAAATACTTGCATGTAAAGCATATAAAACTTCTAATACTGGCACCTGAAAGTTCAAATGTACTTCCTCTCTTAAAATTTTTCGTACCTTGGTGAACATCCATTAACGTATAAAAGTTCTATAATTTTAATATTTATTTCTTATAAAAGGGTTTGGCACGATATCAAGAGTGAAAACACATTTGACCTGATCAATAAAGGGTATAAAATCTACACAATTGTTTTCAAAGTATCAATGAGTCCTGAAGTTTGACAGTTTTCTATAATCCCTTTTCAATACTATATATTAGATTGATTGAATGTTAGTGTTTAACGCCACTTTAAGCTATATTGACTTTATCATGGCGGTCAGTTTTAATGGTGAAGGAAGCCAGAGTTTGCAGAGAGAACCACGACCTTCATCAGGAAAACTAGCAATGCTAAACCATTAAGACTGGAATCCAACGCACCTGCCAAATGCAGGGTTCGAACTCACTTCAGTGATGACAGGCTAGTGATACAGCAGATAACCTACTTAGACCACTCGGACACCTGACTATTAGAATACTTCTTCATATAACTTTACCTTCCAGAACCACATAATCTGTTTACTGTTTCTCTGATAATGTCTGTATATTGCGCTCCTTTCCCAATCATCAACATCTATTTCCTGCATACCACACAACATCAACTGAAAGCAATATAAAATGGTGAAAATCCTAAAAGCAAGAGGACTAATTTAAGATTTCATACAGTATAGGAATATAAGTTAAATTTGTGTTATCTTCTATTCTTGTCTAAATAGCAGACTTTCCTGTGTGTTATCTTATATTTTTGTCTAAATAGCAGACTTTTGTGTGTGTTAACTTATATTCTTGTGTAAATAGCAGACTTTTGTGTTTGTTATCTTCTATTCTTGTCTAAATAGCAGACTTTCCTGTGTGTTATCTTATATTCTTGTCTAAATAGCAGACTTTTGTGTGTGTTAACTTATATTCTTGTCTAAATAGCAGATTTTTGTGTGTGTTAACTTATATTTTTGTCTAAATAGCAGACCTTCTCATGTGTGTTATCTTATATTCTTGTCAAAATAGCAGACTTTCGTGTGTGTTACCTTATATTCTTGTCTAAATAGCAGACTTTCGTGTGAGTTATCTTATATTCTTGTCTAAATAGCAGACTTTTGTGTGCGTTATCTTCTATTCTTGTCTAAATTGCAGATTTTCGTGTGTTATCTTATATTGGTATACCACGAATAAAAATGAATCCACAGCAATTCTCATGTCATGGCCAACAGCAGGTCAATTATATAATTGATTGACTTTTGTAGTTAAATGCAATTTTCAACACAATGGCTATTTTCTATTGGTGGAGGAAGCCAGAGTACCTGGAGAGAACCATGACCTTTGGCAGGAAAACTGACAATCCCAATCCTAATCAATTAATATAAAGGTCAAGGCACCTGCCATGTGTGGGGTTCAAACTCTCAACCTAGCTGTTGACAGCATAGAGATGCAGTAATGGATCTAGTTAGGCCAATCCGCCAGAGAGGCCCCCAGGTGAAGAAATTTTCTTTTTGATTTCTGAAATCTTGAGAAAAAATTGTCTCCACCCCCCACCACCATTTTTTATTCTAATTCCTAAACTTTTGGGACCATAACCCCCAAAATCAATCCCAACCTTCCTTTTGTGGTTATAAACCTTGTGTTTAAATTTCATAGATTTCTATTTACTAATACTAAAGTAATTGTCCTGAAACCAAATGTCTTCGGACAATGACGACGTGATACCAATATACGTTTTTTTGCGGTCGTATAAAAATGAGTTTATCCTTATTTTAAAACAATGACTTGACATTTCTAAAAGAAAATATGTGTGTTTCTACCTCCAACTCTCTCTCATCAAAATATTGTAACCATTGTAATGGTACAACTTCACTAAATCCTTCCAGGAATGCTTTGGTCTGTTCTTCTACTCCTCGTGCAAATCTCCATTGGGTCATTAGGCTGAAATAAATACAGGTTGATCATAGACAGAGATAAAAGGTTTTCTTTGAATTTTAAGTAGGTGAACTAATGAATAATTTAATACCTTCGAAACATATATATAAAATAATTTGTTTAACACTTTCTAATTTATATTAAATTTAAAGGACACTGCAAACAGAATATTTCAAAAAGGGGACAGGACTTCCTTAACAGTATCTCTTCTAAAACCCGAGAAAGGATTTTAATGAAACTCTTGTAAACTTTTTATCTAATAAATTTTATTTTGTATTTATCAGAATGACTTTTGAAGTTTCCTATATCAAACGATGAATTTTGCTATTTCTATATATACAATGTACATGATTTCTCTATGTACATGAACAGACAAATGGGGAAATAAAGATGCTATCACTGCTAACAGTACATGTTATCTAATAATTGCATTTCTATTAAACGATTCTTTAAACTTTCACATGAATAAATCACATAAATCCTTGCACTAACGACATTTTAATTATGTAATGATGATAAATCAATCATGTCATTTTTTGCTCCAATAAAAAAAAAAATTTATAAAAAATATTTTTAATAAATTCAAATGTATTTGTATTGTAAAGTTTCCATATTCTGCAGTAAATATTTAATGCATAGCTTAGGAGTAAATGAATAATCAATTAAGCTTGAGATCACAGTTAAACATTTCTGCTGAATCATTAAATTTCTAATATGTTTTACCACAGAAGTACTTATCTGGTCCTGTTTTAATTTATAAACATAGTTGGCTGGGGATAACCTGTTAGTAAAACAGGTGATTTTATTCAGAAAATATTGATGGTTTCCTTCACATTTACTTACTTAATATATTCTTCTTTGTTTTCTTCTGTTACTTTAATATCTGCACCTCCTTCCTTTAATTCATGCTGATCAATTTTACCAAGAATTTCAAAGTCCGCACAGAAATACATCTCTAACCCACATTCTTCAATATCGTTATCTCTGAAAATGTACAATTTTTTATAATATCAGTCTACTGCTTTCAATTCCCATAATGTCAACCTCTAAGGGCCCAGTCAATTCTCATTATGCCAAACATCAAGGGCCCAGCTAATTCCCATTGTGTCAAACTAAGGGCCCAGCAAATTCCCAGAGTTCACGAAAATGGTCGGTCCTGTCGGTCCTGTCGGTCAAAATGAGGCTCGGACCAGTATTTTGAAGGCTAGTGCCGGTCCCAATGACCGATGTAAAAACGGCCGTTGTAGTGCATATTTCGGCACTTTTTTACATCGGTTATTAGATGTACCGCAACTGTTTCCAATAAGTGTTTACATCGGTTATCAGATGTATCCGCTGCCAATTTCCGGTACTGGTTTACACATTTATTATAAACAAACCAAAGCGGCGATCTACACGTGGCCTACTTAATTTGTCCATAGAGCCATCCCTGGCAAACAATCGGCGATTGAACCCTACAATGGAGCAAACAAATACTGTAACAGCCGAGAAAGTGATTCAGATGATGAAATGGATAGTGAAGATGACTTTAAATAAGAACAATCAGAAGACCTGAACTGGTCTTTCATTGTTAATTTGCCTGTGGGTGCGAAGAATAAAACTAATATTAATAAAGTTATTTTTCGATAAAATATGTTATCAATTTTTTTCAGGATAAAATTGAGAGATTTTGTAGGACTGGCTAAAATTTTGTAGGACTGACAATCATGCTTTGTCGGTCCCATGACCGACGGGTCAAAATAAGTTTTCGCGAACTCTGAATTCCCATTGTGTCAAACTCTAAAGGCTCATTCCATTCCCATTGTCAAACTCAAAGGGCCCAGTCAATTCTCATTATGCCCAACTCCAAGGGCCCAACTAATTCTAATTGTGTCAAACTTGGGGCCCAGCAAATTCCCATTGTGTCAAACTCTAAGGGCTCATTCCATTCCTGTTGTGTCAAACTCGAAGGGCCCAGTCAATTCCCATTGTGTCATTCATTAAGGGCCCAGCTAATTCCCATGGAGTCAAACTTTAAGGGCCCAGTCAATTCCCATTGTGTCAAACTTTAAGGGCCCAGTCAATTCCCATTACTGTGGATTCATTTATTTTCGTGGGTACCAATTTTCGTGGATTGAGAAAAACTTGCATATTCGTGGATATTTAATTTCGTGGTTTTGGCAAAGTCTGTATACAAGTCTATAGGAAGTTTGGCATTCGTTGAATATATAATTTCGTGGTTCACTTGCACCCACGAAATACACGAAAATTGGTATCAAACGAATAATAATGAATCCACAGTATATCAATCACTAGGGGTCCTGTCAATTATCAATATAGCAAACTGTATGTCCCAGTAAATTCCCCTTATGCAGAACTCTTTAATTCTTAAAGTTTTCATGATTAGATCTTAACTTTCAATTATAGTTGCTTTAGACTTGAATAAATTCCCCAAAAATGATTCAACTTGAAAGATTTTTTTTGTTTCTTGAAATTACTAAAGTTGTAATAGATGTTGTAATCATTTATTCTCAAATATTTTGGCGTGTAATTTAAAGCTAAAACATCTATCATTCTTTGAATAACATGGCAATATCAGCAGCAAATCGTTCAGTAGAAGAATATTACAAAAGTTAATTACGTCATCAAATGTTCTCAAATTTATCACACCAAGCTTTCCATGCTTCACTTACTTGATCCACGTTAATGAGTTATAGAATTCTGAATCTACAGTTTCTACATCTTTCAACATAATCTTCTTATTTAACATTCTCTTATAAAATGGTAATGTAAATCCACTGTCAATAAACTTCCCATGATATAAGGCCTACAATTAGAAATACAAACATATAATGCTACATTTATCTTTGGAAAATTACTTTTTTTATTATAACCTGGGTTACTGTGTCCATAGTAACCATCAACATATGCAACAACTTCATAAGAAATAGTGTGTGCATGTCAAATCAATATCAATGAGTCATGAAACACTGCTTTGTAAATAATATAATAAACTTTTGATATTTCTACACTTTCTTTCTCAATTGACTACAGCTTCGCATTTAAATATTATGTTACACACTTGTCTGTTCACATTATACAGAACTTATTTTCAGGGGTGTGCATGGTGTGCTCATAACACATTGACACTCCCAACACCTTTACAAGGAAGAACGACTATAATCCACATTATACAAGTTTTACGGTCACCATCATGAATTATTTGACAGATAAAACATGGTTGTGTCTCGACTTACAAAAGACATGTTTTCCTCATCTTAAATCTTGAAATACCAGAAAAGTTGGCTGATCTGCTAATTTACAAGTTGTATCTAATTCCATATTGCTCCATTTATAATGCATGAGATTCCCTCATTTATTTTCATATCTTGATTTGTATATTAAAAATGGGTTTCCTACTTTTTGAATATTGGTGTACTACTGTAGACTCTTCATTTGTCATTGAAAGCAACAAAGCTGGTATGTTAATTAACAGAGTTGCTCATTTCTCAAAATATTTTTTCCCTGGTGGTCCTTGAAGAAAATCTGCTGGTCCTTACTATTATTTCTATTGCAAAATATCAAAATTGTGTCGATCCCTTGCAATTTTTTGTGGTCAGGACCTTTGGACCACCACTTTTCAAGAAATCTGCTTACTGTGTATAGCTCAAACAAAATCTTCGAGCTGGTACAACTTAATTCCTGGTAAGAGACATATCTATGAAACTTGTCAGTTGTGAATTTTGTTTTGTATTATTTCATTATACTATGCTTAGTTTTATTTGTTCATTGTTTTCTTCATTTAAATACTCCTTTTTCATTTGGTTGCATACAAACTCTCAATAATTTTAATTTCTACTTCTTGTTTCATCAAACAAGTGTTTGCTTTATTTCTAAGATTAGAGTACTCTTGAATATTGTTAAGAAACTGACCATGGCAATAAACCGTCCAATGAATCTAAAGTATATAAGGTGATCTGGGTTAATACTAGAAGCAGGGTTAATCTGAAGACAATAGTTGTTATGGCTGGCATACTCAAATAAACAATACATCGGATTTAATACGTCATGTGACAAGTGAAAGAACCATTCTCTGAAAGAAAGAAAAAAGATCATTACTTTGTTATGTAATGAAACAAACACTTTGGAAGAATTTTTGTGTGTCGGTTGCCAAGTATTTTGGTTGTAAAATTACTTACATAATAGAATTTCTTAAACTTTGTCTTGAAAAAATTAGTATTCATTTACTTACACACAACAAATAAAGAACTGCTGAACAAACACCTCTTAATTTTCGTATTGGTAGAGATCCTTTAAGTGGATACCAATGGTACGCAAGGTTGTCAAATAAACTTAATTTAATACCACTAGATGTAGATCCTGATGCTGATCTTATGGCGAAACATGTCGACAACTTAAATTTGCAGTTCACATAAGTGTTGTTATAAAACTAGAGTTATTTAAACACAGCAAGTAGTCATATGAAGTTTGAATATGATGTATCTAGCCATACAGAAATGTGATTATTGTAATGTATCTGATTTCAACTTGTGTATTTCTTATTAATATTGCTTGCTGTAACTATTGTCATCATAACTATTTCCAGTTCATTATATACTAACCTTGCTACACCACCATAATCTAGACCTTCTTCACCTTTAAAGATTATATATAACCGTCTTCTCAGGTCAAATGGCTGTAACCTCATTATCTAAAAACAAATTTATATTGAACATTCCAAATTCCTTAAACAGTACATAACAGTTCCTAAATCTGTTTCCTATTTTTACAAATTTTTAATTGTAACTGATATTTAGTTCTAAGATCTGATGATACAGATTCTGTGTCCATGCTTTGCTTAAAAGTCTGACAACATTAATCTCTACTTTCTGTTCAGTTAATTCTTACATTAGCCTATGAATTCTGCCTCCACATTTTTGAAGGTGTGTATCATTTGGATAAAACCTTAGGATCTTGAAAGTTCTTTAAAACAGAAAGTAGGCTGAACATTGTCAGATCCTTGTAAGCAAAGCATGGACACAGGATCTATATTTTAATCAGATTGTTGATACACTCAACTAAAATGTTAAAATAAAATCAACATTCATTTACACAAAACTTTTTATTAATATTCAGGTACCTCGAATTTTCATCTGAAATATATACTCAAGTTGTCTTGGATATTCTTTTAAAAATATAACTGTATGAATCGATTCATGTCTAGAACCTAATGGTAGTTAATTATATACAAATGTCGTATCATAATGTTTTGAGGATTTTTGTTATTTGGAGAAGTAGGTGTTGATGGTATTCTTTAATACTGTAAATTCAGAAATTATTGCGTGCATTTATTATTGCGACCCTGTCATTTTAGATTAAAATGCGATTTTATTTTTTGCGATATTGAGACAAATCCTGTTTAATTCATATAAAAAATTTCAAAATGCGAGTTTAAATTATTGCGATTATAACTCTGTCGCATTTTTCGCAATAATAAAAACATCGCAATAATTTCTGAATTTACAGTAGTTGTTTCAGTTTAAACTTTTCAGACTCAGTGAAATTTAAACCTTGACATATTGTATATCTGTCTATTGCTAAGGAGTTGGAATAGCTGTCTAATTGATAAATACCCCACATCTTGGTTATCAATAAATTTACTTCTTTTACTAACAGTCCACAGTTCTTGAACACAATGTGATTGTTCATCTATAGATAACTGCTAAAATATTTGTTATATGAGCTTGGAAAAGATCATTTTCATGTAACATGTTTGTCAGTCTTTTTGACATGATCATTTTGTCAGTGTTTTTGACATGATAATTTTCATGTAACATGTTTGTCAGTGTTTTTTACGTCATCATTTTCATGTAACATGTTTGTCAGTGTTTTTTACGTCATCATTTTCATGTAACATGTTTGTCAGTGTTTTTGACATATAAACAGGTGATAATTATCACATTGTATGTGAATAGCTTAGGCAAATTTCAAAACTAATAAAATGCTTCGCTTGGGCGCAGCTTGATACGACCGCAGAGGTCGAAACCCTGAACAGTTGGGGCAAGTATGGACACAAAATTCAAGCTTGATACAGCTATGACTTTGGATTGTCATTAAATATTTGACACAGCATAGGTTTCTGACACAGGATGAATGTGGTGTAAGAACTGGAAAAAATTTAATTTACCTATTATGGTGGAATATCCATAAACTAAATTGTTTGTTAATTTCAATATATCAAAGAATATGTAGAATTCAATGTTTGATGTAATGTAATAAAGTTGAAATTTGGACCGTTTTTGTTCAATGTGGACCAATTTGGTAACATGTATAAATAATCAAAAATCTAAATACATGGGAGCCCATTTAAATACATCATAAAGGTATTAAAATAGAAAGTGACATCATAGTCATGGCTAAAAATAAACAAAAATCCTTAATCAGCAACATTTAAAGTAATATCTAAAAATAAAATTCCTTTGTAACCATAAAAGCCCATTTAAATACATCATAAAGATATTAAAATAGAAAATGACATCATAGTCATGGCTAAACATAGCTAAAAACCCTTAATCAGCATCATTTAACAGTAATATCTAAAAATGGAAATTACATCATAAAGGTATTAAAATAGAAAATGACATCATAGTCATGGCTAAAAATAAACAAAATCCTTAATCAGCATCAGCAACATTTTATAGTAATATCTAAAAATAAAATTCCTTTGTAACCATAAAAGCCCATTTAAATACATCATAACAGATATTAAAATAGAAAATGACATCATAGTCATGGCTAATCATAGCAAAAACCTTAATCAGCATCATTTAACAGTAATATCTAAAAATACAAATTTCTTTGCAACCATAAAAGTAAAATAGAAAATGACATCATAATCATAGCTAAAAATAAACAAAAATTTTTTTTATTGGCAAATTTTAAATGGAGTTTATTATACTAAAACAATAAATTTGCAACCATAAACATGATAAAACCCCATTTAAACACATCATAAAAGTATTAAATAATTCAACTACATCATAAGGCTATAAAAATAGAAAATGACTTCATAGTCAAGGCTAAAGGTAAACAAAATACCTTCATCAGCAAAATTTTATATTGGCAAATTTCCAATGAAGTTTATTACACTAAAATTGTTGGCAAATTTCCAATTTACATAATTTAAAAGCAGTGTAGATGAGATATTTAAATGAGTTTGAATTACCAACCTTACACTGCTTTTAAATAATGTTCTTTACTCAATTATTTGTCTATTAAAATGGAAACCCTTGTTTTTTAACCTTTTTTCCCCTTATTCCTTAAACATTAGAGCCATAACCACCCCCCCCCCCCCCCCCCCCCCCCCCCCAAAGCCAATTATTACTTTCCAATGTAACTTAAATTTCCAATATACATAATTTTGAATTTCAATTCCTCATGATATATAACCGTATCATTATTATTTTCTTTCATATATAAATCTGAAACAACCATCTTTAAATGGAAAATTTTAAAGAAAAAAAAAGGAAAAAAAAAAATCCTACCTCCCACACATTTTTTCAACCCCCTTTTGATTCATCATCCCCCACCTCAATCACAACCTTCAATTTGTGGTATGGTACATTGCAATACAATTTCACAGAGATCCATACACTTGAACACAAGTTTTTGTTGCAAACTAAAAAAATCCTTATTTTTGACCAATATTTGGCCCCTTATTCATAAATGTTTGAGCAATTAACCCCAAAACTCAATTCCTACTTTCTCTTCGTGATAAAAAATAACTAACTTAAAATGTAAATTTTAAACAAAAAAAAAATGAAAAAAAAAAATTACCCCTTTTTTGACCCCTGCCCCCCTTATGATTCATCACCCCCACCCCCCTTTCCCCCCAAACCAAGCTCAATAACAGCCTTGCCTTTGAGGTATGGTACCTTGTAATACAATTTTAGAGAGATCCATACACTTGAACACAAGTTATTGTCTAGAAACTAAAAAATGCTTATTTTAAACCCCTTTTTAGGCCCCTTATTACTAAACGTTTTGGGCAATTACCACAACACTCAATTCCAGCTTTCCCTTTGTGAAATGGAACCTTGTAGTAAAATTTCAGAAAGATCCATACACTTACACACAAGTTATTGTCATGAAACTAGAAAAATGCTTGTTTTTTGCCCCCTTTTGGCCCCTTATTCCTAAAATTTTGAGGCAATTAACCCCAAAATCAATCCCAGCATTGACCCTTTGTGATATGGAATCTTGTGGTACAATGTCAAAGAGATCCATATGCTAACACACAAGTTATGTCTGGAAGTTACAAAAATGCTTATTTTCAGGCCCCTTTTTGGCCCCTAATTCCTTAACTGTTGGTACCATAACCCCCAAAATCAATCCCCACCTTCCTATTGTGGTATTGAACCTTATGGTGAAATTTCATAGAGATCCATTCACTTAAACTAAAGTTAGAGTGCGAAAACCATTGTGTATTCGGACGACGACGCCGGACGACGATGGCGACGACGACGAGGACGCCAACGTCATACCAATATACGACCTCAAAATTTTTTTGCGGTCGTATAAAAACTGCTTTCATTGTGAAATCGAACTTTAATCATGCATGTTTTTGTTTTTATACCCCTTAGTGGCAGCTTACATACCTGAGCAAAAGAATCTTCAAACAGATTGTCTCTAGAAACTGTAATTTTAACATGTCCTGGTAAAGCATTGGATTGACATAAGTATCTAAATTGTCCTAACTTCCAGCGGAAACTTCTCTCATACTGAATTGGAACACCATATGCACCTTTGGGACTAAAAAGAGAAGATGAATAACATTATATTCATAGTACCTAGAAGAAAACTGTATTTTAATTCAATTTTAAATCTCTAAAAATGGACAGTGTTTTGGTAGATTTCAGTGTCATCCTAAAATATTTTTTGAACTGCAGTTAACATGGTTAATGTATTTGATACAGTCATTACAGAATATTAAAATTCTTTCCTCCAAATTACCGCAAAAACTGAGGAAATTAGATGTGCAAAATTGTATTCTTAAAACTTTTAAAAGAGTATGAAATATGATCTAATATAAATGTTGACAGGAATTACCAGTAATTTGTTGTCACCTTCAAGACTAGAGTCCATATTGGTCATCACATTGTGGATGACATATGCTAGAAATGGTGTTCTAAATTTCATCAAAAATCTTGTTCATTGAAACATGCATTATAATTAGGCTTTACAAACTGTTTACTAATTCATTCTTGGATGCCCAGGCATATATTCTTGGATGCCCAGGCATATATTAATATCAAATTTTTGTAGTGCTGACTATTGTTCAAAGACAAAGGTCACATTTACAAATATACTACCAGTTAGGAAAACACTGAACAAATGCAATACTGAAATTCTTCCTTTCCTGTTTAAAATCAATGATTGTATAGGACTTAATTGATTTCCAACTCTCTCATCCATTGTGTACTGAAATTATGCCATTTCACTTTTTTTTTCAATTATGTTAACTAACACGACTTATACCTCGGCATTCAAAACATTTCTGATAGTGATTTGAAAATCAATTTTCAGATTTTATTGTACATTGTAATTCATTACCTAATACATAGTTTTATCGATTTTTATTGATTATTTCAACCTTGTAATCAATTCCAAAAACAAAAACCACACCCAAAAATAATGTGCCCCCATTGAGAGTCGAACTCAAGACCCCTGGTTTACGAGACCAGTGCTCTAACCACTGAGCTATAGGGGCAGTTATGTATGCCAAGCTTATCAAGGCTATACATACATTTATAATAGATTATTGATTAAATCTATATTTATCTACATATAGTTCATTTCAGAGCTATGATGAGTATGACATTAATTCTATAGTCTGTTTCATTATATCAATTTTTAAAGCATTTAAATTTTGTCATGCAGAAAAAGGGTCATTGGTTTATTAGTTCTACATTTTAAACTAGTCTTAAGCCTCTACCTTTAGTCACGATTTATTAACATACAAATAACCTCATTTGGCAATTAGCCAACCAAGAAGTTTACATAAACCAGGATAAGTCAAAAGTCCAATGTAATTGTTATGTATAGGACAGGAAGTATTGATTTCATAACTAAAAACATAAAATGTAAATTTCAAGTAATGGGAGAAAAAACGTTTTTTTAATTACAACAACTATTCTATAATTTACACAACAGTTATATTTTCAATTATGTTTTCCTTGCCACTACTAACATTTAAACCGCAAGGGTTTAATGAAATCTTTAAAAAAAACATTGGATGTAATTTCACAATAAAACATAATGTCATCCTTAATAACTGTCATGATTTCATTGAGGAAAATGAAATCATGTACCACCTTTTTGTAAATAATTTTTATTCAGTAAGAAAATGGTAAGATACAAGTTAAGAAGAGGTAAATTTATTCAAAGTGTTCAAGAGAACAGTTTATTCAATTTTAGTGTTCTATGTGACATGAAATATGCAATAACATTAACATTTTGGGTGCAAAAAGTAGGACCACTTCTGTGATCACTATTTACAGAAAGGACAATATTTTCTGGTTGCTAGTTTAATTATCACATATCATATACGTTCCACATTACAATAACGTTTTAATACAAACCATGTAACATAAACTAGACAGTTAGTTAAAACAATACTCCAATCAATAGAAAATTAATAAAATGGCTATGACTCATAAAAATTACTGTAAAACCAATAAAGCAAGTATACTTTTGCATCAACTTTAAATTTTTGTACTGCAACAAGAGGAAGTAACGAAATAAGTTTTTAGCCTTAAAAACTCCATAGACAAATAAGTTAACTAACTGTAATAATAGTCTGTATTAAATATTCTTTGTGTACATTATTAGTAACTGATAAATTGTCTAAGGCAGATTTGTAGAATAGTAAAATTGTTATTTGTATAACTGATGTCATGATCCTAAATTCATGAAAAATAACTTTTGAAAAATAATGGTTATAGGTAATAAGTTGAATTAACATTTATCTGCTCTCTAAATATTCTATCAAGTAATACTGGGTAGAGATCAGAGAGGTTGTGTTCATAATATACACTGGCGTATACTGTCAGATAAACAGTTTAAAAGATCAGACATGGAACTCCTGAAAATTACTTTAGCAAAATACCAGAACCAGAACCACTAATTCAGCCTGGTCAGGCAGAACATAAAGAAAGTAGAGCATATTCTAAACAAAATAGTTCCTATGCATAGCTCTAATATTTAAAATATGGGAAATATTTGGGTTATTTTGATGTGAAATAAAAGCTTTAGCACCTGTAATCACTGTTGAATCCTTGTTGAATATTTGTTTTGTATGATAAAAAATTTATCTGAAAAAGAGAAGGCTATATTTGCCTGTTGCTCAGATCATAAGTACCTGTTTTTGCTAGGGATGGGAATTTTTTGGGGAATCAATACTCAAGTACTCTTTACTCGATAATATCCTGTAAAGTTGCCTTTTTATTTTGTTGTCTCTTTTATTACATGTACATTCAGATCATCTAATTACTTCACTTTGAGCAATAAAACAATATTTTAGTTAATCACTTTATTACATCCACAATCAAAGATATTTACAAAAGGTAACGACTCATGAACCATCAATCTTTGTACATCAGAGTTAGACACAGTGTCTAATGATCAGTCCAATGAGGCTCATCATAGTTTATTCTGTTCTTATTCAAGAAGACAATTTTGACTACTTCATCTATTAGGTAGCTTAGTTTTAATGAATTCAGGAGATAACAAAATCTTCTTGGAAGGAACGGATGTCACAGATACTGCAAACAGACATCTTTAAATAAGTCATAGTCACTGATTTTTTGTGGTTTTATCACACCAACATTGACAGGAACTCTTATCAGGATATAAGTTGTCCTAATCTAGTATAAATTTTTCAATTCCAACTCGTCCTGCTTATCTGTTTAGTAGAGATTCACAAAGAAGGAGGTCATTGAGACATTTTGACTGCAATTTTAATGAACTTATTGTCTTGCAATCAAAGTCAACAGTGAAATCTTTTCATGTTATGATTAACATGATTAAGGGAAAATACAAACCATGTATTCATTGTATGTACACTCAGATGGAAATATTGTTGAGATGAAAATATCAAATTATATTTAAGTATCTGAGTATGAAGTTTTCACTTGAGTATTCAATCTTCCAAGCAAGTTCTTGTTGCCATTTCTAGTTTCTTCTGAACTCTTATATTCAATTTAACGTATGATGATTCCTTCAGCACAAGCCAGGCTTAAGTATTGTTTTGACATGAAATTACTTCCATTTTGTTTATATTTGTGTTGTCAAATCGAACAGGTTTGCATAACCTGTTACTCAGATAATCTTTCGAACGGTTAACCGATAGTTAAGTTGATGTTTAAAGACAATATCTATAGTACCCTTCACACATACATTTTTATGATACGACAAACTGAAGTTTATCCTTGGGCATTATAAGGCTAGGCTTTGAGCATTCCTGGTGAAGTTTACTTTTAATAATTACCGTATCTACTACGAAGTATGTAACTTCAGATTGAGAAGATGAAAATCTTCTTTATCTCAACAAGTTGACATTGTCTGAAACCATTGATTTTTTAAAGATTTTCTCTGGTGTCTCAGATGTTTCAATTTGAGATGATTAAGCGTGTTACTCGTACAACCAAATATACATTAATTCCATTCACATGATTTGCATTTACTATTTTTGAGTTGGCATTTCGTTTAAAGAATGATAAAACCTAGGAGGATGGAGGTGGCATATTTACTTATTAGGTCTACATCATACCACATCCTCTCATTTTTATATGGATAATTTTAATTGATGAACTGCAGCATAATTTTTTTCACACTTTCTTAATTTATTATTTAATACATAAAAGATACATCTTGGCAATAGGAATTAACCAATGTTCACAACTCTAAAATCAATTTTACATATACACAACCATGACAGAATAAAATGCTCTGCAGGGTGCAGCTTGATATGACAGCAGAGGTCGAACCCTGAACAGGTGGGGCAAGTATGGAAACAACATTCAATCTTGATACAGCTCTGAACTTGGATTGTGATTAAATATTTGACACAGCATAGGTTTCTGACACAGAATGAATGTGGTTTAAGAACTTAAAAACTTGAAATTGGACATTTACCTATTACGGTTCAATATCCAAAATCTAAATACATGGTTAGATTCAGCATATATATCAAAATTAAAGAACCTCAAAAATTCAGCTTTTGATGAATCACACAAAGTTTAATTTTGAACCTTTTGGATCTAAATGTGGACCAATTTGATAACTAGGCCCAAAATACAAAATCTAAATACATAGCTAAATTCAGCATATCGAACCCCAAGAATTCAAGACTTTGAATTAAACACAATTGAAATTGGTCAAGAAGTAAGCAATTCAGAAGTATTAGAAAAGTATTGTTTTTGGCCCCTAGTTCCTAAATAGTTATGGCCAATACTCCCAAAATCGATCTCATTCTTCCTTTTATTGGTATGGAACCTTGTGATACAATTTCATGGAGATCCATAGACTTATACTCAATTTATTGTTCAGAAACCAGAAAATCCTTGCTTTTTGACCAATAATTCCTGAACCATTTGGGCCATAACCCCAAAAATAAATCCCAACCTTTCCTTTTGAGATATTGAACCTTCTGGTACAATTTCATAGAGATACATACACTTATTCACAAGTTGCTGTCCTGAAAGAATAAAAATGCTTTTTGGCCCCTAATTCCTAAACAGTTTGGACAATAAACCCAAAAATCTGTCCTTTTGTGATATGGAACCTTGTGGTACAATTTCATAGAGATCCATACTGTATATTCCTCTCCTTATTAATTAAACTAATCTACTCACCCTTTAGACTGGCCTCCTCGTGGATCTTGGAATGTGGTAGTTTTTGTGTTGTGATCCACAAAGTATCTGACGCCGTCTGAAGTGTATCTCATCTCCCATCCTTCAGGTAAAGGATCCTCTTGTATAATACTGTAACAAACAATATATTTATTGATTTTAAGTTGTACAATGTTGCTTTTAACTAAAAGGGTCATGTAAATAAGATTTGCCCCGACAGAAAACATATTGGAGAGGTGGGATATATTACATGTAATTTTTATTCAAAATAGGATGATATTTGAAAATAAGGGCTTTTCAAGAATTAAATGTAAGGGGGAATGGAGGCATTTTTTTAGACCCTGACCACCAATAAAATAAAAATTTTCATTTTACTTGAAATTCTTACAAACTTCTTAAAAAAAAAACCTGCTTCGCTGAGCGCAGCTGGATACGCCCGCAGAGGTCCAACCCTGAACAGTTTGGGCAAAAATGGACACAATATTCAAACTTGATACAGGTCTGAATTTGGATTGTAATTAAATATTTGATATATTATAGGTTTCTGAATAAATGTAGTCAAAGAACTTGAAATTGGTTATATGAAAGATTTCTTGCTGTTGTGCAATACACTGTGCTGTTGTGTAATACTTAGTAAATCTGTTGTCAGACTATAAACAAATAAAATCTTATGACTATAAACAAATAATTTAATTTTGGATGTAACGCGTCCTCTGATTGGCTGACGTTGTTTTGTTAATCAGCTCATAGACATAATTTTGTCATGTGACCGTGACGTCATCAACGTTTTTTCATGGTTTACTCCGGTTTAAATGGAATTAAGAATTAAATTATAAGAAATGACTGTAATATTTTTTCTGTCTATTCGAAATAACATAAAAAATGTGGTGCACACTTTAAAAAAACTCACTATGCGGGTTATTCAGTGTGCACCACATTTTTAATGTTATTTCTTCATAGACAGAAAAAATATTACAGTCATTCCTTAAATAAAATCTTATAACTCAAACATAAAATCTATATTTTATAGAAATCAAAAGGGAGCTTACAAAAATAGATATAAACAATTTACCAAAGTTTTATAAAAAATGCTAAAAGCATTTTTGAGTTATTGTCCAAAAACTGGAAAATCTCCCTTTTTGTAATGAATAAAACCCCATAAATCGGAAACTTATAGTCAGAAATTTATAAAAATCAAAAGGAAGCTCATGTCGATGGAAATAAACAATTCACCAAAGTTTCTTGCAAATTGGTGAAATTGTTTTTGAGTTATTGTCTGAAAACTGGAAAATCCCCCCTTTTTTAATGAATAAAACCCCAAAACTCGGAAACGGTAAATCCAAAATTTATAAAAAAATGAAAGGGAGCTCACATCAATAGATATGAACAATTCACAACAGTTTCATGCAAATTGGTGAAATTATTTTTGAGTTATTGTCCGAAAACAGGAAAATCCCCCCTTTTTTAATGAATAAAACCCCAAAACTCGGAAATGGTAAATCTGAAATTTATAAAAAACGAAAGGGAGCTCACGTCAATAGATATAAACAATTCACCAAAGTTTCATGCATATTGGTTAAAGCGTTTTTGAATTAATGTCCGACATGTTGACGACGGACGGTCAACCATAATACGTCCCGTAAACGGGCGTATAAAAATAGAAGCACTTGTATTTATTTAATTTGAGTGTTTCCAATCCCCCCCCCCCCCCCCACCTTATAAATTTTGGAACAACCATTACCTTGCATTTGAAAATAATGGTATGCAGTGAATGAAAATTTGCAAGGAAATACAGCAAGCACAAAACATACTAATTTAACATAATTCTCAGCATTTTCTATAGTTTCTTTCATTCAATAAACAAATACCTTCTCCCTCTGCCACTACTTACACAGTCAAGGGAAAACAACAAAGGACACCCAGATATCATTATAAAATAACTTTTACAAGTACAATGATTTACTAAACCATAAATAATAGTAGGATCTAGATTCAAGTGATTTGATAAACTTACCCTTGGGTTCTCGGATCTTCCCACTGTGTTGTTCTATTTTTATGGTTAACAAAATATACTCTTCCATTAGGATCAACCCTCTTTTCTGTAAACAAAACAAAATATTATACTTTAAACATGATCCTACGAATGTGCCTGCTTAAACATAGAAAGTTTGAGATCTAATTGAAGGAGATTACTGTCTAAAAATACTCATAATAAAATTGTAACATGACGTATAAAGTTTTTAAAGTACTCTACCTTGATACCAGAATGACTCTAAAATTGTTTGCATGTCCACTAAATATCCTCTATATATTATATCAACACATCATTTATGCTTACAATTTGACCTGTTTTCATTAAGAAAATACTTAATCAATTGAAATAACACTCATGAATTTAAATGTTATTTTCTATCATGTTATGTAAACAGTTGCCAAATAGTTTGTTTTTTCTTCTGAATCAATAACCAAGATATATTATTCCATCTATAAAATTTATTTCAGTTTATTTGCACATTTCAACATTTAATTTTTGCAATTATTTACAGAACTTTTAATAATACTAGATACATACGTTCTTTTATGCACTGTTTGTTTTTCAGCGATTTAGATGTAAAGGGAGGGGGGGGGGGGTTGAATTTTCAAAAAACTAGTTTAACCCTGCCAAATGTTCATTATCCTGTCCAAAGTAGGAAGCAGTTGTCTACAGTTATATCTTAATATTATTTTGTCATTTAGGATTGCAGATCTTTGAAATGTTATTTTGTCATTTAGGATTGCAGACCTTTGAAATGTTGTTTTGTCATTTAGGATTGCAGATCTTTGAAATATTGTTTTGTCATTTAGGATTGCAGATCTTTGAGATATTATTTTGTCATTTAGGATTGCAGAACTTTGAAATATTATTTCGTCATTTAGGATTGCAGACCTTTGAAATGTTGTTTTGTCATTTAGGATTGCAGATCTTTGAAATGTTGTTTTGTCATTTAGGATTGCAGAACTTTGAAATGTTACTTTGTCATTTAGGATTGCAGAACTTTGAAATGTTATTTTGTCAATTATGATTGCAGAACTTTGAAATATTATTTTGTCATTTAGGATTGCAGAACTTTGAAATATTGTTTTGTCATTTATGATTGCAGACCTTTGAAATGTTACTTTGTCATTTAGGATTGCAGACCTTTGAAATGTTGTTTTGTCATTTAGGATTTCAGATCTTTGAAATATTGTTTTGTCATTTAGGATTGCAGATCTTTGAGATATTATTTTGTCATTTAGGATTGCAGAACTTTGAAATATTATTTTGTCATTTAGGATTGCAGACCTTTGAAATGTTGTTTTGTCATTTAGGATTGCAGATCTTTGAAATGTTGTTTTGTCATTTAGGATTGCAGAACTTTGAAATGTTACTTTGTCATTTAGGATTGCAGAACTTTGAAATGTTATTTTGTCAATTATGATTGCAGAACTTTGAAATATTATTTTGTCATTTAGGATTGCAGAACTTTGAAATATTGTTTTGTCATTTATGATTGCAGACCTTTGAAATGTTACTTTGTCATTTAGGATTGCAGACCTTTGAAATGTTGTTTTGTCATTTAGGATTTCAGAACTTTGAAATGTTATTTTGTCATTTAGGATTGCAGATCTTTGAGATATTATTTTGTCATTTAGGATTGCAGAACTTTGAAATATTATTTTGTCATTTAGGATTGCAGACCTTTGAAATGTTGTTTTGTCATTTAGGATTGCAGATCTTTGAAATGTTGTTTTGTCATTTAGGATTGCAGAACTTTGAAATGTTACTTTGTCATTTAGGATTGCAGAACTTTGAAATGTTATTTTGTCAATTATGATTGCAGAACTTTGAAATATTATTTTGTCATTTAGGATTGCAGAACTTTGAAATATTGTTTTGTCATTTATGATTGCAGACCTTTGAAATGTTACTTTGTCATTTAGGATTGCAGACCTTTGAAATGTTGTTTTGTCATTTAGGATTTCAGAACTTTGAAATGTTATTTTGTCATTTAGGATTGCAGCTTTGAAATGTTATTTTGTCATTTAGGATTGCAGAATTTTGAAATGTTATTTTGTCATTTAGGATTGAAGAACTTTGATAGTCTCTGTTAAATTTGTTAGAGATAGAAGTTGACATATTGTGTAGACCATCTTTGTTGAGCTCTAAATTGTTTTTTATTTGTTGTTCGTTTTGGGTTTTCTCTTTGATGTACACTCCATATCTCCTCTCATTGTATACTTTAAGCTTACCCCAGCCTTCTGGTAGTGTTCCTAAAGGATCATCCTGTACCATTGTAGCTGGATTAGGAAACAAAAATCTGTTTTGTAAATTTTCCAATGCCATATTTCTTTGATTCCTCCATGAATCCCATTGATTATAATTACTGATAATGTCTGTAGTAGGTCGCTGCCATGTTGTTGTTCGACTGTTGTGATCTACATAGTATACTCTACCTCTGTTGTCCACTCGCCTTTCCCATCTGTAAATATAGGTTTCAATGCAATTAGTAAAAGTTCATATACTGTGAGTTTAACTGTTAACATTGGATTACTGAAGATTGAGGAAAATGGTCATGTCAATGGCACAGCAGAGCATCCCCTCATAACCCCCCTTACTTTGAAAGGTTATTTCTCCTTAATCCAATTATAAAATTCTGATGTTTGAAAAGCCTTCAACGGTTTTCGCTGTAAATGGGTGCAAGACTGGAGTTCTAAAATGCCATCATCATTAACCTCTTAAATCATATAAACTTGAAATTTGAACTCAAAACTAAATTGGATTCAATCTTTATACAATGCCATGATGCTTAATAAAGTGCAAGACTTAGAGATCTTGCCTTCCCGAAATACATTTACCTCTTTGGTCATATTTAAACATTAAATTTCTGTAATTAAATAGGGTTCCAGCTCTTCCTTTGACAAGTTTCAATGTTTGAAATTTGCCTTCATTTGCTATATTAGGATAGTGTCATAAAAATTTTGATGAAATCTTAATTTTATTGATGCCATTTTTCCCTGTTCTTTCCAGAATTATAGAGAACAGATACATTAATAAAAATATAATTATCCTAATTATTCAAAACATCATTTGGAAAAATAGTTTTGCTTGATACAGTCTTACCCTGGAGGTAATGGTTGTGGTCTTTCCCATGTTGTAGTTCGTGTATTATGATCAACATAATATTTTCTTCCATGGCCATCTGATCTCTCTTCCCAACTAAAATTAAAAGAAAATAAGAGACCATTGTGATACCATATACATGTAAATAACTCTAATAACTTGCATGGATCTAAAAATAACTTTTTTTACTTTAAAATACTGTAAATCAACTAATTTTTTGTGAACATTTCTTTCGCAAGTAGGAAAATAAGGGGGATATAAATCGTTGTGAATAATTAAAATGTATGTCTTCCTTTATGTAATTAGATGACGAAAATTAGAATAAAGAGCTATAAACAATTCACCAGTTTCATAAAAACTGTTCAAAGCATTTTTGAGTTATTGTCTGAAAGCTGGGAAAAAAACTCCACAACCTGAAAACATAAAATCTAAAATTTATAAAAATCGAAAGGGAGCTCACGTCAATAGATATAAACAATTCACCAATGTTTCATGCAAAATAGGTTAAAGCGTTTTTGAGTTATTGTCCGACATGTTGACGACTGACGGACAACGGTATACCATAATACATCCCGTAAACGGGCGTATAAAAATCGTGAAAAAAATCAACGTGAAGTCGATTGGGAAGGATTAACCGCTAAATAAAGTATCCACGAAAATAACTTGGTTTACAATTGCTAAAACAAATTATTTTCCTTCTTCAAAATATGCCTATTTTGTACAAAAGTCTCTGGTGTCAAAGTAACAGACATTTCAAGATTACCTTGAAACATTGATGCTGAAAAGAATATTCATACATTTAAATAGGTGTTTATTTATTTAAAATTAGGATTTGAATATGCAAAGGTCAGCCAAAATCTGTTGTCTTATCTTCTTATATCTATTATCTGTGTATTTTGCTTAAATTCCCTTATCCCAATAACCAGGGTTTTTTATATGGGTCTTTCCCATGCTTTTGAACAATATACATACCCAGCAGGAAGTGGTTCTTCCTCATTGTTATTATTGGTAGCTGGCAACTGTGATGGAGGGTCCCCTGCTGGCGGAGGTAGATTGCCTGCAGACGGTGGTGGAGGATTCCCTGGTGGAGGGGCAAGTGCTGCACCAGCAGTACCATCAGATGCTCCTGCTCCATGGACGTCACCATTCTGTTGTGGTCTTGATGACGGACTATTTGTTGTGGACGGTGTTGTATCTAAAAGAACATAACAACATAAGATCTATTAACTTTTCAAGGTTTTTCTTCTAAACCTGTTACACATATACATGCATAATACTTTTCATGGAAATTCTGAGTTTTCAAGCTTTTTAAACTTGTGAGGTTTTTGAAGCTATAAAGGACCCTTTAACTCTTCCACTTAGTATCTCAAGCGAGGAGCATAATATGAATAAACTGCTTCGCTGAGCGCAGCTGGATACGCCCGCAGAGGTCTAACCCTGAACAGTTGGGGCAAAAATGGACACAATATTCAAGCTTGATACAGGTCTGAATTTGGATTGTAATTAAATATTTGACATACATCTATCATAGGTTTCTGAATAAATGTAGTCAAAGAACTTGAAGTTGGTTATATGAATTGAATTTATATTCAATTAAAGATTTCTTGCTGTTGTGCAATACACTGTGCTGTTGCGCAATACTTAGTAAATCTGTTGTCAGACTATAAACAAATAAAATTTATAAAATTCTAAAGGGAGCTTACATCAATAGATATAAACAGTTCACCAAAGTTTCATACGAATTGCTGAAAGCATTTTTGAGTTTTTGTCTGAAAACTGGAAAATCCCCCCTTTTTTAATGAATAAACCCCATAATTCAGAAATGTAAAATCTAAAATTTAAAAAATTCTAAAGGGAGCTTACATCAATAGATATCAACGTTTCATCAAAGTTTCATGAGAACTGCTGAAAGCATTTTTGAGTTATTGTCCCAAAACTGGAAAATCCCTCTTTTTTTTATGAATAAAACCCCATAACTCGGAAACGTAAAATCTAAAATTTATAAAAATCCAAAGGGAGCTCATGTCAATAGATATAAACAATTAACCAAAATTTCTTGCAAGTTGGTGAAAGCATTCTCGAGTTATTGTCCGAAAACTGGAAAATCCCCCTTTTTTTAATGAATAAAACCCCATAACTCGGAAACGTAAAATCTAAAATTTATAAAAAACGAAAGGGAGCTCATGTCAATAGATATAAACAATTCACCAAAGTTTTAAGCAAATTGGTTAAAGCGTTTTTGAGTTAATGTCCGACATGTTGACGACGGACGGACGGACGGACAGACGGACGGACAGACGGACGTACAACGGTATACCATAACGGGCGTATAAAAATTATCACAAAAAAAATATCAAAGGAAAAATTCACAAAATAGCGATAATAGAGTTTATTGGAGAATCTACAATCTTGTAGTTATGATATGGTTTTATGTAAAGTGCTCTAAAATTGTACTTACTAGCTGACCCTGAGGCTGCCCCAGAACTGGTTGTTTTATTTCTGTTGGGTGGTGGCGGAACTGGTGGAGCTCTTCTATTTGAAGGTCTACCAGCTTCAGCATTGGCTGGGCGTCTGGGGGTATTGCCACTACTAGTACTACTTCCACTGGCAACTTGACCTAAAATTCAACCAATAGTGCAAATATAAGACAGTGCTCAATTCTAGATCATAGTCATTTTAACACAAATTTCCAGAACTGTCAAAACACAGATGAATACATTTTAAGCCTAAAACCTTAAATTTTTGTAGATTTAAACTTGTGAATAAGGTTGATAAGAATTGTCTATCAATGTGAATAAAGATATCTCTTAAAAAGTACTTAAAACAAGACCTTTTCAAAAAGTCACCTCAGAGAAATTTTCTACTTCTGATAATTATTATTTAGTAGCATATTTGAGTCATGACTATAGTATTTAGCTTTACTCATCTATAATACAATTTTGTATTTTTGTGTGTCTTTTCCCATTATATTTGGCGATATATGTGTCGATTGATTTCGTTCACATATTTTATAGTTATGTTAAGAACATGTATCATTGAACCTCTATATATCTTTTAGGTTTTTACTCGGTTGCTGTTTCATTAATGTCTACTTTGCATCTCTTTTTGTCTATCACAAGCTTGATGCATCTAATAATTATATTTTACTTGTTTTAAGTATGTCAGAGTAATCATGAAGTTGTTTATATACAAACCATTGGATTGAGACTGTGAATGTCTGCTCTGGTTTTTCTTTGGAAACTTTGTCATATTGACATTCATGCCATGTAGAGTAAGAGTAATCTCCCCTGTTTTCCCTTTCCCTTCCAAAGTAAGTTCTGTTGATTTTGTAACATGTTCCACTGCAAGAAAAAAATCACCATATCAGAAATTATTTTTCAAATGTTGATATTGGACTCTATCATGTCTATGGAATATAATTGTATGGCATGAAGACACTAGAGAGTTTTAATATTGGGACTGAAATTATACACCTAACATCAATGGGTTAAATTTATGGAACAAAAGTCACAGTTCAATTTTTATCTATCCATACATTTCTTTATTCTTAGACGGAAATATACTGACCAGCTGGTATTGTCTACAGACATGTTTGACACCCAAGCATTAAAATCAACAACCTAACTATACTTAGAGGGTAGCCAATCATCCATGACCATCAATATATTGTAGAAAATACTTCAGTTTAGGCACAAATTAGCCAGTAGCAGACATTTCTAAATGTGATCACATGAAAGATGCATTCATAGTACAAACTTGAATGGCTGACCAGAAGAATAAAATTTACATAACCACCAAATCTGGATGAGAACCCAATCAAAATTCATTAAAAAAATACTGAATAAATTGCTTCGCCGAGCTCAGCTGGATACGACCTCAGAGGTCCAACCCTGAACAGTTGGGGCAAAAATGGACACAATATTCGCGCTTGATACAGGTCTGAATTTGGATTGTAATTCAATATTTGACACATAAAAAGTTTCTAACACAGAATAACTGTAGTCAAAGAACTAGAATTGGTCATATGATTTGAATTTATATTCAATTTTTTGCTTTTGTGCAATACACTATGCTGTTGCGAATTGACCTCTCCCCCCCCCCCCCCCCCTTTTTTTTCAAAAAAAAAATTTGAAGGATTTTCTTTTTGATTTCTGAAATCTTGAGGAGAAAAAATTGTCCCCCCCACCACCAGTTTTTTTACCCCCCCCCCCCCCTCCAATTTTTTTTAACCTCCCCACCCCCCCAAAAAAATTCTTTCCCTCAGTCATGGTCATAATTTCAATTCAAATTTCCAATGGAGTTTGCAACCATTTTTGGCGTTCGTATAAAAACCAACAGATAAACAAGAATGTGTCCATAGTACACTGATACCCCACTCTCACTATCATTTTCTATGTTCATTGGACCGTGAAATTGGGGTCTAAACTCTAATTTGGCATTAAAATTAGAAAGATCATATCATAGGGAACATGTGTACTAAGTTTCAAGTTGATTGGACTTCAACTTCATCAAAAACTACCTTGACCAAAAACTTTACTCGCACTATCATTTTCTATGTTCAGTGGACCGTGAAATTGGGGTCAAAACTCTAATTTGGCATTAAAATTAGAAAGATCATATCATAGGGAACATGTGCACTAAGTTTCAAGGTGATTGGACTTCAACTTCTTCAAAAACTACCTTGACCAAAAAATTTAATCTGAACGGGACAGACGGACGGACGAACAGACAGACACACAGACCGAAAAACATAATGCCCCTCTACCATCGTAGATGGGGCATAAAAATTTTGTGATACAACAAAACCATTGCTTCTATGTGATAAACTATCATGATCATACAAAAGGAGCAATGAGGAATGTCCCAGTTCACTGCAAATAAAATGTGAACAAGGCCAACAACTCCAATAAAGAGGGTAAAACAGCATGCATTGTCACTTCTTATATCATCATGTACACCTACATAAACAGAAATAACTGAATATCCAGAGGTGCAGCAAAAAAGAATATGAGTTTGTGATTGTCGACCACAATTTATAAGTACTTCAGGCACAAGAACAATACAGGATAGCTAGCTGTTGTACTACTTCAAATTGATAGTTTGATGGACATTGGTAGACTATCTGCCTGCAGACATAAAATCTCTGTAAGAAAATCATTTTGCAACCAACATGGTTTCCTGAATCAAACATATACTGTATTGTGTTAGGTTTGTCTAGTAGAAATTTCTGGTTGTCTAAAAACTATGTGATACTAATGAAAAGAGAACAGAATAACTCTATGCATAAGAACAATGTTTTTAAGAGGTATTCTAAAAATACTCCATATTTAGGACATAGAAGTCCCAAAGTCTTTAGAATGTTTAGTGAACTTACATTTGCCCCGATTTTCTAGAAGTATTCCATGCAATTCAACTGATGCTGTACCGACTAAGGTAGCTGCTCTGAATGTGTTGTTGCTAAAAACTTTTATATCTAACTTGGAATAAGGTGTAACCAACCTGAAGATAAAAACACATATTTTATTAACTAACCAAAAACAATTTACATATATGCGTACATATAACTCCTATTCAAATTTAGGTCTTCTTACTACTCTTTTTACTACGAATAGACAAAAATAATGGCCACGCTGTAAAATATATGTTTTACTCAGTATGACAAAAATTTGTATTTCTGTATCTTTTTTGTTTAGGTTACCACTATTTTTATCTTATAACATAAAGTTAGTTTTCTCATTTGTCATTTCAGGACCTTTATTAGGTTGCTATGTGGTGTGGGTTTTGCTCATTGTTGAAGGCTATACAGTGACCTATAGTTGCTAACTTCTACAAGTTCTATGTCATTTGGTCTCTGCAGAGAATTGTCTCATTTGCAATCATACCACACCTCTTATTTTCATATTCTGTAATCTTCTGGTTCATAATAATATGGTAATTAAATCTGATGCATATGATTTTCTCTGAAAACACATCACCACTCATACATGTACTTTCAATAAACTTATTTGCCAGGATTCTATTGATTAAAATGTTATTTTCCGTTCTGATATTTCACTTCTTAGTTAGTTCCTGCATATTCGGAGGGTAACCATCATGATTATATATATTAAGATCTCTATCTTTATACAAAGAAATGTTTCTGAAGTATCTTAGAAATTGTTTTGAAAAGCAGTTGTGCCATCTTTAGAAGATAGACTGAATTATTTTTCTTAATACTGTAAATGTGAATATTTTTTGGGGTTATTATTTTTTTATTTCAATACATAAACATGATAAACCCTTCACACAGGTGTTTAAATTTTTGCATCAACAATAAGTTCAGACTTTGCAATGTTTTTGTTGCTTTCTATAAACTATTTGCGCTGGGGATATTTTTGTGCATTGTATGTGATCAGGACAAATAAAAGAAAATAACCCCACATGAAAATTTTCATGTTTACAGTAATCTTTATTTATAGCTTACAATGTAAAATCTTCATCCCATTTTGGTGTTAATGTTTTCTTTAAGATTTCTGTTTTCCTTGGAGGCTGACTATCAACACTAATTTCTGCATATGGATCAGGTTTTGAAGGAACAAGTCCACCAACTGTAGAAAGCTTTGAAGATAAAACTGTTAAAAGATATAAAAAAAATCATATTAAGTGTAAAAATTTTGCAGTCATCCTGGTCATTTATCATGATTATACTATCTGCAATGCTGTTGACGCAGAGAATTGTTTAATTTTAGCTAGCCAACTTCTCAAAATTACAATTCAAACCAAAATAAAGACATAACTCAATCAATCAAAATTACAGTTCAAGCCTGTATACAGATATTACCTAATCAATCAAAGTTACTTTTCAAGCCTAGATCATGTAAATGAAGACATTACCCAATCAAACAAAGTTACTTTTCAAGCCTAGATCATGTAAATGAAAACATTACCCAATCAATCAAAGTTACTTTTCAAGCCTAGATCATGTAAATGAAGACATTACCCAATCAATCAAAGTTACTTTTCAAGCCTAGATCATGTAAATGAAGACATTTCCCAATCAAACAAAGTTACTTTTCAAGCCTAGATCATGTAAATGAAGACATTACCCAATCAAACAAAGTTACTTTTCAAGCCTAGATCATGTAAATGAAGACATTACCCAATCAATCAAAGTTACTTTTCAAGCCTAGATCATGTAAATGAAGACATTACCCAATCAAATAAAGTTACAATTCAAAAACTAAATAAGGCATTACTCAGTAAATCCAAAATAACAGTTCAAAATCTAAAGGAAGAGAGTACTAAAGCATGACTTTTGTTTAAATCAATGTGATTATAACCATGACAACACTTTTCCTTGAAAAATGCACATGCACATATATATTAATGACAATAAAATTGTATGTAACAATATTTTCATACCATTAAACTCAGATTTATTCAAAAAAAAAACATGGTTTCTTATGAAATGTCTTTCTTTAACGTTGAGTTTCCAAAATATTCATAAGTTAACATTAACTTTATTTTTGCTAACACAATTCTTAATGTAGCAAAATTCTAATGTTAAAATTGAAGTTTGTAATTAAATGTTAGAATTGAAGTTTGTAATTAAATGTTAAAATTGAAGTTTGTAATTAAATGTTAAAATTGAAGTTTGTAATTCAATAATTAATTCATGAAAATCAAAATTTAGAAAAGTCTGTGATAGTTACAATCATGACAATAAACATGATAAAAGCCTAAAGCATATATGAGTTAATAATTTTTAGTTAAACCTATTGATTTAATTGAAATATGTGGGAAAACTGAAAGAATAATAACTTTTGCCTGTGTGCTGTAATGTTGCTATAGTACTGTTAAAAACAATTATTCTTCTCGTATCAACAATACACAGTTCAATTACACATGGTGTGAGGCAACATTTCCTGGTCGGTATGTAAATGATACCAAACAGGGAAATGTTGTTCTCTCTTACAATTCAGAAAATTCTAAAAGTGAGCTTCTTTTGTCCTGTATGTTTGTATTTTGAATAAAATATGTGAATTACAATAAATTTCCATTTAAATATAATCAATTACATGAATGGTATGTTCATACCTATATTTCAATTACTGATTGATTATCAATAAATATGATGTAATCATATGAATCTCTTCATTAGCCGTTAACTATTAATAAAAGGAATTAATTATTCATTTCTAGTACATGTATATATATACTATATACAATAAGCAGTTTTTGTTAAAGAAAATGTTTTAAGAAATTAGCAGTTTTTGTAAAGGAATATGAAGAACTTGTTTGAGTATTGACAGTCTTTTTCTATAAGTTTGAGTTGATCCTTGTTGACCAAAAATTAAGAGCAGCTGCTTTATTGCTTATTTCAGTGAGTCTGACATTAAAATAAATAGTGGCCTTTTTTTACCCCTTCAGCACATTATTAACCAAAGATTGGTTAAGATCTGTTTTATGGATCAAAGCGATAATGTCTGGAAATGGAATTTTCTGAAAATATTGACTATGGAATAACTTGACTGAATTTTGATTGAAAGGGTATACTGGACACAGAATGGACCGTTAGCATATAATTCTTGGAAGACTGCAATACATTACACACAAGGTGTAAGTTAAACAAGAATGCACATGTTGAAATGTCTCAACTTCTTTACTGATAGTGATCATAATTATTTGAAAATCTTTAAGATACCGGTTTTACTACCAGTATGACATGAACTAAAAATTATCGATGATCTATGTATACTGGGTCAAGGTCAGATAAACCCTGGCAGATAGACATGGTCACCTTAAAATTATTCCATTCATCAAATATATATTTGATTTATTTCTTATAGAACCATGAAAAGAACAACAGACATATGACAGAAAGATACTTCCTAACAGAAGGCATCTGTATACAGATATAAAGAACCTAGGTCTTCTATGTTCTATCTTCTGAAATATAAAGCCTTACAACAATTGTTTATGCTGTCAAGCCCCTGGATTAGCATTCTTATGTCTCCCATTTTGTCACTGAATGGCAGGCGAGACAAAAAGCCTTTGAAAGTGTTGAGTAAATCTCTGGGGTTGCTGGTAATTGAATATGATAACAATCAGAATAATCATGATAATATGGCTCTTCCATATATTTCCTGATAACCTATTGAACATACCGAGACAGGGCTCACAGGGGATTGTCAAAATCTGGAACAAATTGTATCTTCACCAAGTTTGGTTACGGTAATATACATGCCCCTACCCAATGTTCAGCATTTTATATTTTATTTTATATAGCTGTTTGGCTGTAAAATAAAAAGATGTGTTACATTTTTAGTTTAAGATTTGTTGCATTTTAGCCGTAGTAGATACTTCTGATGGGAATTCAGTCATGCAGATGACAGAAGTCTGTCAATTTAACATGTTTAATAATAAACCCCTGCATCCGAAAGGAACTGCCTTGCTACAAGCGCCGATCTACAGGCCACCAGCGTATACATGGACCAAGGATTATTCCATATGTGCGACAAAACAACAACTGAACCAAGATTACCAAGATTTCCGATACCACCTTACATACATGTACATCTATAAATTGATAGCAGAAGAAATGGACCACACACCACGCGGGTGCCGATCATAAATGAACTATAAATTTACAACCATGCCGATAAACAGACTAACTACAGCAGACGATCAAAAATTATATATATACCAAATAATTAACAAGGGAACAATTTTTGACAATTACATTTTCCATTAGCGGCGACCAAAATCTTCCCATTGTTGCCGACGCGCCAGGAAGTAGTAACATCCAACAATGGCCAGGTTGGAAGAGAAGCCTAATGCGAAGTGGTAGGAACCATGGGAAGATCGTCCATTTAGATACCAAGCCTTTAGAACAATGTCATGTATCATATAAAAGTAAAACGAACTCAATTTACATCATGTACATTGTAAACAAACCTTATTTTTCTATATTTATATTATCTGTTTATAACTCTTTATTGCTACTTTCACTTTTCATTGTTTCTCTCACCATGACAACGCCAAAATTCAATGTACCACTTTGAGTACTTCAGTAATTAATTTCTGTATGAAAATTGTCCTGATGACGCCTGCCCTGCAGGTATAACATGTAGACCATAGCAAATAAAATTGCAGACCATTTGAAGTGTTGTTGTCAATTTTGAGTATTATTTAAATGTTTAATAATAATAATTGAATTTCACATTCCACAAAATGGGATCATTCAAAATTTATTATTCAGAAGTGCAAAAAAAAATTCTAGACACAGTAAGGTAACTTGAACTATTCATATATTTTTATTTGGCCTATTAATCTATAAATTACAATTCAAGACATAAACTGAGACAACTCACTGTAATCATGGTAATGTTATTCTCAGGGCAAAACAAACATTATTGGATTTGTACAGTACAAACAAGAATACAGATATCATTAACAAGATACATACAGTACAAAAACAAACATTACAGCACTGCAAGTCACCTATCAATTCTCTTTTAGGTCTCACCACTTCTCCTTATCAGTTATACAAATAGTCATTTCTTCAAGATTCTGATATAGTGTGAGCCCTACAGAGATATATCTTGCCAATCACTACATTCTTTGTGAAACTTCACCATGAGAACATTCTTTAACTGAATCACAATGTACATGTTGAATTTACTCATATTCCTTTTGTAGATTTGACAACAGATTTATAGGGTAAAACAATAAACATGAATACTATAAAACATTTACCAGTTACTTGTAACTGTGAGAACTGAGCATTTCCTTGTGCTGCAGAGGCTGCTTCTCCCATTATTTGGAAGTGTCACATGTACACCTGTAATAAAATTTAACCACATTCATCATCTCAAAAATACAAATAAAGCGACTGTTTATCAATATTTATAGTGTTACAATTTCATTTGTAGATGCAGAAGGTCACGATCGGTAACCAATTATAGAGAAAATGATTACAAAACAAATTTTCAGCAAGTCTACAATCATGTCAATAAACAGGATAAAATTGTTTGTTTTTTATTACAATTTACAAGTTTATTTTGGAAAACATGAACACAAATGATTTTCCATTACTGCTTTTTGTATCCAAATCCATGGTTGATTTGTCTGTTTTACTGTGCTGTGAATGTAGACTGGTGTTATCCCTTTCTATGCATTATTCTTTACTAAATGTGTCTGATGTGTTAAACAATAAACATACAGTTTCCTTTGAAAATTATTTTTTATAACATAATTTGTTCTGGTTAGTTGTACATGTGAATTCCAATTCATTTGGCAATAAAATGCTCCGCAGGGCGCAGCTTGATACGACCGCAGAGGTCGAACCCTGAACAGTTGGGGCAAGTATGGACACAACATTCAAGCTTGATACAGCTTTGCATTTGGATTGTGATTAAATATTTGACACAGCATAGGTTTCTGACACAGAATGAATGTGGTCTAAGAACTTAAAAATTTTAAATTGGACATTCACCTATTATGGTCCAATATCCAAAATCTAAATACATGGTTAGATTCAGCATATCAAAGAACCCCAAGAATTCAATTTTTGATGAAATCAAACAAAGTTTAATTTTGGACCCTTTTGACCTCAATGTGGACAAAGTTGATAACGGGGCCCAAAAATCAAAAATCTAAATACATGGTTAGATTCAGCATATCAAAGAACCCCATATATTCAATTTTTGTTGAAATCAAACAAAGTTTAATTTTGGACCCTGACTTGGACCAACTTGAAAACTGGGCCCATAATCAAAAATCTAAATACATGTTTAGATTCAGCTTATCAAAGAACCCTCAGAATTCAATTTTTGTTAAAATCAAACTAAGTTTAATTTTGGACCCTTTGGACCTTAATGTAGACCAATTTGAAAACGGAACCAAAAATTAAGAATCTAAATACACGGTTAGATTCGGCATATCAAAGAACCCCAATAATTCAATTTTTGATGAAATCAAACAAAGTTTAATTTTGGACCCTTTGGACCTCAATGTGGACCAATTTAAAAACGGGGCCCAAAATCCAAAAACTAAATACACGGTTAGATTCAGCATATTAAAGAACCCAATGAATTCAAGAATAAAACCCCATTGAAATTGGTCAAGAAATAAGCAATTTACACGAAGTATCTTCTTTTGCACAATACTGTGCAATTAAATATTTCTTGCTATTGCGCAATACTGTACAATTGACAATTTCTTGCTATTGCGCTATATTGTGCTATAAGATATTTCTTGCTATTGCGCAATACTGTGCAATTGAAGATTTCTTGCTATTGCGCAATACTGTGCAATTGAAGATTTCTTGCTACAGTAGACTCCGGCAAATCGGATACCCAAAATGTCAGCTAAAAATATCCGATTACCCGATATATTCAATTAGACGATGAATGTATATTCATTGAATATTCTGCAATAATGAGTAGATATAATCCTGAGATGTTACTAACCCTGACAATTGCTAAATATGTGAAAGGGCTGGAGGATTGATGGAGTGATTTTTATCAGTTACATCACCACGATGTTTGTGTAAAAAATGATCAGCTGATTATGTAATGATTAAATTTGTTTGCAGTTTTTAAATCCTTTATTTATTAAAATAAATCAAATATCCTGAAATATTTATGTGAATTATTATCTACCATCCATAGTTTGTCTTTATTTGTTTTGTAAGCAAATTAATATCCATCATTTACATTATCACACAGGTAAACAAATTTGGCTATAAATAGATTTAAGCATGTCTGTGTAGAATCTCCAAACTAAAATCGTATTTGTTATAATTTTATTTCTTTAAATAATCAAATTTAAATTTATGAAAATAATCATGATTGATAAAATATTATTGCATAAAGTTTACGTTTTCTGAAGACTATTTATATTTAGGTCATAGTTCTAGAGGCTTCCTCACAAATTTGTAAACATCCAAAATGGCATCCATGACGTGGTTACTTTTGCACATGTGAAAAAAATATATCTGACAAAAGTCAGATTTCTCTTGTCAAAAGGGATTTATATTTATATTGCAATAAATTATTCAGAAGGAGGTACATTCAGTTTAGATTATATTTCTTATTCTGTGAACATTTAGAGTTTAATCAAAATTCTCCAAACAGCAACGTCAACTTGTCAACTGAGTCTTGCATATTTTATAAATGAATTCAAACCATTTGAAGTAAAAGGGCATCTAATTCACATGACAAAGGAAGACAATGATTAAAGACAACAATTTATTAAGGAATAGTTCCTTTTATTTAGTATAAACAAAATCTTCTTGTCTGCAAGATTGTAAATTTGTAACTTCCGGGTCCATTTCCTGTCAGAAAAACATTGAAAATATCCGATTGTGCATGGTTTTGAACAAAATGACCTGAATATTCTTATCCGATTTGCCGATATATTCTTATATCCGATATTCGATTACACGATACAATTAACATTAAACATATAGGGAAGGGTTTTGTGTTTTGAAATAATATTACAATAGCCGATATATTCGTTTAGCCGATATCCGATTAGGTGGAGTCTACTGTATTGTGCAATACTGTGCAATTGAAAATTTCTTGCTATTCCACAATACTTATTATATAATAATTTACACATCCTGTTTGGTGTGTATCTCCTACCATATCATTATTATTTGCTTTTAAATATAAATCAGAAATAACCAACTTAAAATGGAAAATTTTAAAAGAAAAAAAAAAGGAAAAAAAGAAAAAAAAGGAAAAAAAAAAATCCCCCCCAAAAATTTTTCTGAACCCCCTTATGATTCATCACCCCCAAACTCAATCCCAGCCTTCCCTTTGTGGTATGGTACCTTGCAGTACAATTTCAGAGAGATCCATACACTTGAACACAAGTTATTGTCTGGAAACTAGAAAAATGTGTTTTTTGGCCATAAATTCCTAAATGTTTAGGGCAATTACCCCCAAACTCAAACCCAGCTTTCCCTTTGTGATATGGAACCTTGTAGTACAATTTCAGAAAGATCCATACACTTACACACAAGTTATTGTCCTGAAACTAGAAAAATGCTTGTTTTTTGCCCCTTTTTGGCACCTAATTCCTAAAATATTGAGGCAATTACCCCCATCATCACCCCCAGCCTTCCCTTTTTGGTATGATACCTTGCAGTACAATTTCAGAGAGATCCATACACTTGAACACAAGTTATTGTCTGGAAACTCGAAAAATGTGTTTTTTGGCCCCATTTGGCCCCCAATTCCTAAACGTTTCGGCAATTACCCCCAAACTCAATTCCAGCTTTCCCTTTGTGATATGGAACCTTGTAGTACAATTTCAGAAAGATCCATACACTTACACACAAGTTATTGTCATAAAACTAGAAAAATGCTTGTTTTTTGCCCCCTAATTCCTTAAATTTTGAGGCAATTACCCCCAAAATCAATCCCAGCATTCCTCTTGTGATATGGAACCTTGAGGTACAATGTCAGAGAGATCCATACACTAACACACAAGTTATGTCTGGAAGTTACAAAAATGCTTATTTTTGGCCCCTAATTCCTTTACTGTTGGTACCATAACCCCCAAAATCAATCCCAACCTTCCTTTTGTGGTATTGACCCTTGTGGTAAAATTTCATAGAGATCCATTCACTTCAACTTAAGTTAGAGTGCGAAAACTAATGTGTCTTTGGACGACGCAGACGACGACGCCAACGTCATACCAATATACGACCACAAAAATTTTTTTGCGGTCGTATAAAAAATTGATAGTCTTATCAATGCTTATGACAATGTATTACTGTAACCGGGTAGCTAACTTAATAATCTGCTTCGCTGAGCGCAGCTGGATACGCCCGCAGAGGTCCAACCCTGAACAGTTGGGGCAAAAATGGACACAATATTCAAGCTTGATACAGGTCTGAATTTGGATTGTAATTAAATATTTGATATATTATAGGTTTCTGAATAACTGTAGTCAAAGAACTTGAAATTGGTTATATGAAAGATTTCTTGCTGTTGTGCAATACACTGTGCTGTTGCGCAATACTTAGTAAATCTGTTGTCAGACTATAAACAAATAAAATCTTATAACTTGGAAACGCAAAATCAAAAATTTTTAAAATCAAAAGGGAGCTTACAAAAATAGATATAAACAATTTATAAAAGTTTCATAAAAAAATGCTGAAAGCATTTTTGAGTTATTGTCTGAAAACTGGAAAATCCCCCCTTTTTGTAATGAATAAAACCCCATAAATCAGAAACGTATTACCTGAAATTCATAAAGATCAAAAGGGAGCTCATGTCGATAGAAATAGACAATTCACCAAAGTTTCTTGCAAATTGGTGAAATTGTTTTTGAGTTATTGTCTGAAAACTGGAAAATCACCCCTTTTTTAATGAATAAAACCCCAAAACTCAAAAACGGTAAATCCGAAATTTATAAAAAACAAAAGGGAGCTCATGTCAATAGATATAAACAATTCATAAAAGTTTCATGCAAATTGGTGATATATTTTTTGAGTTATTGTCTGAAAACTGGAAAATCACCCCTTTTTTAATGAAAAAAACCCCAAAACTCGAAAACGGTACATCCGAAATTTATAAAAAACGAAAGGGAGCTCAGGTCAATAGATATGAACAATTCACCAAAGTTTCATGCATATTGGTTAAAGTGTTTTTGAATTAATGTCCGACATGTTGACGACGGACAGAGGTATACCATAATACGTCCCGTAAACGGGTGTATAAAAATATATTTTTTCTTTCCACAAAATCATGAAAATATTGTCCTTAAAATCATAATTCAAAATATTCTATAATGTATTATTTACTAATATTAAAATATGATTAAAAGGAGGTGTAGGGTACAAAATGTCAACAAGACAACAATGCCTTCTACAAATAAAAGGAAGGCATTTAAGGTCTACATATTTGTAGTCTTAAACATCAACATGTGTCTATATAGTTTGTCAAGTTCTTTTTACATTTAACATGTTTAAAGCACATACTAATTTTAACAGTTATGTTGTGTTTATTGAGTCTGTAAATCTAGATACAATCCTGTAGACTTATCTATCCATTTAAATAAACTTTTTCTAAAAGTTTACCAAACTAAATCGATTTGATGTTGGATGTGCAGTGGTTGATATTTTAGTCTTAGATACCCTTTAGGGGTAGGGTTGGATACCTGCAAACATGTTTAACCTAGTCCCATGCTATGTGTGTCTGTCCAAAGTCAGGAACCTTTAATTGAGTGGCTGTTCTATGATGCTGTCTATCATGTTTATTATTTTAATTAGTTTGTTATTGTGTTGTTGCACCACTGTCGATAGTTCTGGGAGGGTTGGTGAACACTAATATCATGAATATGTTTAACCCTGCCACATTCTGTATGTGCCTGTCCCAAGTCAGGAGCCTGTAATTCAGTGGTTGTTATTTGTTGCTGTATATTATATATATGTTTTTCATTTATTGTTTTGTACATATCAGGCCTTAAGTTTTCTAGTTTGAATTGTTTTACATTTGTCATTTCAGGGCTTATATAGGTTGTCATGCCTTATGGTTTTTGCTCATTGGTGAAGGCCTTCTGAGGACCTTTTAGTTTAGTTGCTAACTTCCACACCATTGGTCTCTGATGGAGAGTTGTCTCATTGGCAATTATACTGCATCTTATTTTTATATTTGCTTACCGAGTTTCTTCAATATGTTAGTACCGTAATCGGGCTTGTATAGTTCGCACTGGTACATAGTCCGCACCCCCTTCCCCCCACGAAATTTCAGGTAAAAAAACTTTTTGTAACTGTTAAAAAAGATCTAATGAAACTCCGGTAATTTTAAATCGTGTGTGGTCGTTTGCGGTATTTTCTTGGAAAAACCTATTTTCCATCACCAAACAGAAGCTGAAACTGCTTGAAAATGGTTCTAAAACACTTCACGCTGGTTAAAATAAGTCTAAATCACACAAAAAACAATTAAGAAACTTATGTATGTTTAAACTGGAAGTTTGAAAAGCACGTGTAAAAGATGAAAAAACCCGGTGAGAGTCGAAATCCGTACATAATAGATATCACTATAATACGACTTTCAAAGTAAAACAGTTCCCTCCTTATGTAAAACAGTGTTTAATATATCTATCACATTAATGTTTGAAGGGTCTTAAGCTAATACAAAACATATTTGTCAATAGGAAACACCAAAACGGAACGAATAATAACCGATTACGTTTTGTAGTTTACACATCAGTCAGGGGACTTATTGAAATAAGTGATTTTTAAATCACTTATTTAAGTAGCAAATTCGAAGTTTTGTCACTAATTGTGATTTTGTAGTTTTACCAAAATTTTAAACATATAGGTTTAGATAATATCTTTTCATTAGTAAAATTGAAAAAAATGAACTTTTTGCTCTTTTAAACTGCAAGGTTTATGCCTTTGATGCAATCATTTAGCTGCAAATTCTATTTTAGTTGAAAAAATGCTATAAAAATGGCTTTACATAATGAACTGATACTTTCTAAACAGATTTTTCCCAGCAGTGGGAGTATTTTTCCTGTAAAATTCAAGGTTTCATCTTATAGATTATTGAACAGATATATCATGTTAAGGAGGGGTATTTGCGAAAAATACCAGTCGAGAGAATGTTAAATTTCGAGAGCCGTAAGGCGAGGGAAATTCATTCTCAAGACTGGTATTTTTCGCAAATACCCCTCAAGAACATGCTATATCTGTTTAATTATACCGAATGTTAATGTTCAAAAACGCATTGATGATCGTGACGTTACAAGCGTCCAGTCGGATAGAGTATTTTTTGGCAAATACCCCGGCAGAGAGGGTAAAAAAGGCATATCCTTTTTGCATATACCCCGGCGGCATTAAAAAATGAACGATATTCATTTGATAACAGTAAATTGGTGAAAAATACACTGGCTATCAACCAATCAAAACCCAGGATTCTTACATAAGGTGTAATTAGTAATAAAATTCTACTGTCATGACTGTTCGCGATCAAAATTTCACTGTTCGGGGTGTTGAAATTAGTGGGGTTATTAAAATAATGATACTTAAAGAAGTGATTTTTCGGAAGTAAATTGAGGTACGATACTTAAACAAGTGATTTTTATGTCATTATCCTAGATTTAGTACAAGGTCATCACCTGACATGACCCGGTCATCCTATCAACACAAATGTTGGTTCTGATAATTTTAGCAACATAATTAGTCCCTGGATCATTAGTATTCTATATTTAAAGCTACAATAAAATTAAATCACTTAGTCTAGTGATTAATTTGTACTACTTAAATAGGTGATTATTAAAGAAAGACAACTCTTACTTCAAACCTTTATGGACATAATGTTAATTGAATCAGTGATTTAGAAAATCACTCATTTAAGTAAGTCCCCTGACTGCACATTGTAAGCTGGTTTACGGTCGTCTTTTTTTACTTTTTCTTTTTTACTAATACCAGTTTATATTTAGCAATGCATTGAAAAGAAACGAGAATTTTGTAATGAAACATTTAATTTTTAAATTTATCAGGATTAATTTGATATTAAATAAAAATAACTTATATGGATTGGGTAAAATTATTGGTTTGAAAAATGATGAGTGCCCTCTACAATGTCAATAACAAACATGGCAGAACGTAAACAAACCACATCGCGGAATTGAAATTTTCTCTCTTATTTCTTGCTTATTGTACTCTAAAGTTCGCACCCCTGCTGTCAGGGTCAATTTTGGAGAATAAAACCGCAGACTATACAAGCCTTTTAACGGTACTTTGGTGCTGATTGGTTAACATGGCTCAAGATCATTTGACTTGCCTTACATTTATGACTTCAAACACATGCAATATAAATATATCAAAACAATTGCTGAATAGGGTTATAGAAAATAGTTGTTTTTAAAAATTTAGTGTCAGTCTCACTTGTAATGCTTCACAATCTTATCAGACTTGCAAGTAAGATGACTTCAGCTTCAGACAATCTGGCTGCTGTGTGTAAAAGCTACATGTATAACTCTATATATTAAAAACAAAATCTTACCCCAAAATTCAGAAACAACAGAAATTTCAAACAATTATGAAAAGATACCCTGAAGGAAAAGTGAAAAGAATGCTTTGAAATGCTAGAATGCAGGATTTTACGTATACATAATTAGGTCATTTGTTATAAAACGTGGACAAAATTGCAAGGCAAAACTTAATGTTGAGAAATATATGTACAATGCTGGATATGTATTCAGTGAAGACCCATTAATATTCTGTTTTTTGGCTAGTTACACTTTAGTCACCCTCCCCCCCTCACAAAGAATGAACTACTGACACTGGGTGTTTTGGGGCTTTAAGATGGACATTTTTTTGTTTTAGACTTTTGGCTTAGAGTTAAAAGAACATTGGAAATTTTTTGCTTCAACTTTCCACACACAAAAATAACTAGTCTTGAACCATGAATGAAAAATATTCAATATCTGATTTTGATTGTTCTTGGATTTCATCTCACTTGACCAAATTACATTTGCACAACTATCACTTAAAATATATGACATAGATTGTTTTGTTGTGACACTTGATATTGCTGGAAAACATTTTATTTGCTTCAAAAGATGTGTCACTGATTAATAAATACAGATATATTTTTACGATATCAAAAATGCTCATGATATCTATTTAACTTCATACTGTAAACTGTAACTAGGAAAATTATGATTCCCCCCTAAAATTGTCTTATAATCTACCTTAGCCATGTTATTAATACTTGTGAAATATGTCACATGATGTAATGGGAAAAGCTTTCATATATAACATTAACAGTCTATAACTATAAGGAATATTTTGAACTAAAGTTATTCAATTGTCACCCTAATACATGAAGTTATACAGTACATGTCCAATGATTAACAGATTAAACGTTAATGACAACATTTTACATGAACTATTAACGGTTGTGTCAGTAAAGCAGGATGTTGTTAAGTTTGCTGTGACAACTTTGACGATTTGCTGTGTTTTCTTTTTTTCGACCGAAGTATTTGATATATTTTTTTACACAAAACTTTTTGATATGTGTGAGAATTTGTATTGGGACATCCCTGTAATGTGCATTTTGACAATATTGACCTGTATTTGGTTACGAACGAGCACTGTCAAAACAGTTTGATGTCCACCATTTCTTATTGGTCATGTGATCAATGACGTATAAAGTTGTAATATGCATCTGTGATTTTATATTCTTTAAAAAATATTATACTTATTTCCACTTTTTTGTTTTAAAGAAATTGCTTTTTGCAACAAATATCTATTTCTACTTTAAAATTTTATATTCAGATATTTTGTTAAAAATTAAAATCATTCAAACGTTTTAAAATATAGCACATAATGTCTAAAACAAAGTTGTCTTTTGACATTGAATCTCATGTGGACGACAAATTGAGAAATGTCACATAAAAGTGTAAAGCATGTGATAGCTGATGCTGGGGCTTTCATACGAAATGCCCCATTACAGGTACAAACAATAAACAATTACGATTAATTTATATCTACCAGGATGTTTGTTTTTTAACTCTACACACGGAATTGCCAAAAAAATAAAGGAAACACCTGAAGTTCCCTATATTGCCTTCTCCTTTTCGGTTTATAATACCAGATTCCAGCAGTGTTCTTGCCTTATAGTATCATGGTGCTAAAGATATTTTAAGATAGACAGTGCTCCAGCTAGAAATTTAAAGGGGCAAGGTGTCAGTGGAGGGCAGGGCACTTTTTAAGGTTTGGAAAGTGCACTTCTCAATTTTTTTATACCCCCGCTTTAAAAAAGGGGGGTATACTGTTTTACCTCTGTCTGTCCTGTCGTCAGTCCATCCGTCAGTCCATCCGTCCGTCCCATGAATATTTTCATCGCATTTTTCTCAGGAACTACTTGACAAGGATTTCTGAAATTTGGTTTCAGGGTTTATATAAGTAAATTAAACCGTGTGATGCGTTTTCAGATTCATCACTCAACAACTTCCTGTTTACCGAACACTTGTATTATTTTACACATGGTTTCAGGGTTTATATAAGTCAGCTTTACTGTGTGAAGCGTTTTCAGAAACAACTTCCTGTTTACCAAAATATTACAGCGGGGGTATCATCAGTGAGCAGTAGCTCACAGTTTTACTTGTTGTCTATGCTTCTGTGTGTTTTCATTGTGGCTATTTATCACATGTTCACAATGTGTTTTTCTGTATATGATGACAATAAATATTGCTCAAGTTGTTGTTGATTATATATTATATTATAAAATCTGCAAAACATGCTTTAACGTTGTTTGTAACTGTTTCTGAAACTTGCTCATGATCAGTAAGTTGGTTATGTTGCCCAATGTTCCTGTCCTTAAAATTAGCTTATGGTCTGTATATCATGTACAGTGTTCTCCCCAGGATTTTTGGATAGCACCAGGGTAACGCGTGTGAACAGCTTGGTGAAATGATTCATACAATCAGTTGTGTCGCGTGGCGTCGCTATATTTCTAGTTACTGCAGTTTTTATGTCTCTTGTTTTGTTTTAATACTGTGGTACTGTGTTATGTCAGAATATTATTGGTTAAAAAGATCAATAAAACAGTTTGTATTCTTTTTAATATTTTTTGAAAATAAATAAAACATGATTCATTACATAATATTCATCTAAATTTAAAGTAATTAATTCTTTTATCCATGATCAATAAAAATAAAATATCATTCAAACAGGAACATATATATTGTTAGATATACTGTTCCCAGATTCAAAAGAGAACAAAAATGTTCAATTTAAAATAAAAAGAAATTTTTCACAAATTTTAAAACATTTTGCCATAGATTTCATGTACATGTAAATATTAACCTTTCTTGTCTTTGGTGATGATCAAACATAGATACAGACTTAATACTGCACTGAAATCTAAATCTTTATTTGTCATGATCCATTTAAAAAGAATTCCTAAATCTATAAATTTATCTTAGGTCTATAGATCTATAAGTAACATATTCAATGTCAACAACAAAGTCTCCCTATTTTCCCGCCTAAATGACAGGAAGTAGATATAAATAGATTTAACATGTGCTTATGGATTAAAATTGCAAGATCACTTCTGTTATTCATTAATGATCATATGGATATAGATATCCAGTTTGAAGGTACAGTCATGCATTTTATTTATAAAATAGAATAGATTGCAGTTAATTGTAAATAATTTTGAATATTCTACATGAACTAACTGGGTCGTGGGATCCTTCCCCTTTGAATTACTTGTTGACAGTTTGAAACCGGAATATCATGCAATAACTATGTCATAATTAAAGATAATTTTGGCCATGGTTTAATCAGAGACATATAAAACTATAATATAAGTATTGAGCTAACTTTATAATGTACAAAATATGTACCGTCGTGTGTACAACTATCGGGTCAACACGGTTTGTGTACAAAGTATTTGCCGACTTGTCAGGTGGTGAGTGAAGCCTTAAAATAGTTATCTATGATCATAAAGTTATGATTTCTAAATTAAAACACAAAAGAATCATGTAAAAAGTGTTAATTACATCGATTAAATCCAATCAACAAAGGTTAACTTCATAAAAGTAAATCGATCACGTGGTGTAAACAATCCGTGTTGAACTGGTTTGAACTGGTCAAATTTCACCTGGAATTTTATACCGCACGGAAAAGATTAAACAAGTCGTTTAACACTTTACCGATTTACGATTTTTTAACTGAAAATTTTAGCACCACGGAGAAAAATTATACATCGCGGTAAGAACGATACCACCGCGGTAAAAAATTATACATCGCGGGCCCGTGGTCCTTTAATGGTCTGGGGAGAACACTGATGTATATACTACTGAATAGAGAAAATGTTTAAAAATTAGAATAAAGAATTGAGAAAAAATGGGCCAAAAAAATTAAGAAGAAAAAATAATGGGTGCTCAAATATACAGAATATAGAAAACTTGTATGTAAATAAAGAATACAGAAAATGATGACCCAAGCCCCTCACCCGACCCCTACCAAGACCCTCTTAACTTTGCACCATTATCCAAAAGACCTAGACGCAAAAGTTCTAAAGGTTACAAGTATGCAGACTGATCTTGAGTAAGTATTTCAATACTAGGAAAAATTATAATTGAGTTATCGTTATTGTATATGGGATTGCTCCTACTTCGGAGGATTATACAGTGGATTGTAAAGAGTAGACATGGTAGAAGTGAATGCTATGTCTGCCTATTTTTGTCGAGCCTGCGATTTCTGTCGCAGAAAGTTCAACATAGGGATAGTGATCCGGCGGCTGCAGTGGCTGCTTTAACTACTTAAAAGCTTTATATTTTAGAAGGTTGAAGACCTGGATGCTTCATACTTTGTATATAGATGCTATCATATGTCCATTGTCCTTGACCTCATTTTCATGGTTCATTGACTACTTGGAAAAAAGATTTTTTTGTAATGTCAATTTCTCTCTTATTATGAGTAATAGGATAACTATACTTAGTATGTGCGTACCTTGCAAGGTCCTCATGTCTGTCAGACAGTTTTCATCTGATCTTGACCTCATTTCATGGATCAGTAAACAAGGTTAAGTTTTCGTGATGAAGTCCATATATCAGATACTATAAGCAATAGGTCTACTACATTTGGTGTATGGAATGATTGTAAGGTGTGCATGTCCAACTGGCAGGTGTCATCTGACGACCTCATTTTCATGGTTCAGTGGTTAAAGTTCAGTTTTTGTGTTTTGGTCGTTTTTTTTCTAATACTATATGCAATAGATCAACTATATTTGGTGTATGTAAATATTTTACAATGTACATGTCAGTCTGGCAGGTTTTATTTGACCTTTACCTCATTTTTACTGTTCATTGCTCAGTGTCAAGTTTTTTTGTTTTGGTCTGTTTTTCTTAAACCATAAGGAATAGGTCAACTATATTTAATGCATAGATTGATAGTAAGGTGTACATGTCTGTCTGACATGGTTCATCTGACCTTGACCTCATTTTCATGGTTCATTGGTCGATGTTAAATTTTCCTGGTTAAGTTTGTTTCTTAGAAACTATTTAAGCAATAGGTCAACTATAATTTGTGTATGGATGATTGTAAGGTGACTGTGCATGTATTTCTGGTTTGGTTTATCTGACCTTGTCCTCATTTTCTTGAATCATGTTAAATTTATGTGATACTTGTAGTAAAGCTTTATATTTAGGACTATCAACATAAAATCAATTATTTGTAAAGCAGGCGAGACATTTCAGCATGTGCCCTCTTGTGTTATTTTAATATCAGAAGTGAGGACAGCCAAAGACAAAATACGTCTTAATTTAACAATTTTAACAGAATTCGAGTAAAACAATGTTTTTAAAATAAGTTCATTTAGTTTATGTCTTTCTGTCAAATATGCTTTCATCATGAATCTATGCTAAAAGTTGCAAACTGTGTGGTTGGAAGAAAATTTCTTTTCTTTTTAATAAAGTTTATACAATTCCTTAACTTTCCCGTAAAAATATCTTATTTTATTTATAGTGTGTTGTAAGATTTTGTGAGGGAATTCGATGTTTTCTACATTGCCATACCATGATGGCTTAAACGCACTTCATGACAATACTGCTGAATAAATCAGAATGATTTTTTGCAGTATTTTCAAAAACGACTTTGCTATGTACCTGTGTTTTATATGTTAATAAATTAATGCTTGAAGAAGGTTAATTTTCTGTATAATGTCAATAATTTTGTTGACTTTTGAAGCCCAAACTTTCTATTGCTTTAAATACACTAAGGAGAGATCGATAAAAACGATGCCAATATAGACATATAGGTTTTTGAATTTTTAACAAAAATTTGGGCAATGAGTGTTTTGCAGTATTAACAAGAAACTGTATTAAAAAATCTCTCATTTTCTCCCTTCCCAATTTACCCCTAACACTTAATTTGATATGGACTGGTAATTGTTATTAAATTGTTTGCAATTTGATTGGATAAAGTTATTATTGCTTCATCTTTACTTGTTATCTGTTCAAATTTGTCCTGAGCACACAAAATTTTATTACGTACATGTAACAATAATTATTGTTTATGAAGACAAGGATGGCAACTCTAATTCCGAAGTTAAAAAATCTTTTAAGAAATTATAAAATTACTCTTGTTTGTTGATATATATACAATTATAGTTATGGTTTGTCTGTAGTTTTCTGTCTTAATATTGTACTAAAAGGTCAAGTCGAACTTTAATTATTATTTTTTTTAATAAAAACGATGAAACCAATGTTCTTTAACTAGAGCCTGTATATGTTATAGTCAGTCTTGAGAATAATGGGCAACATCAGTGAAGAAAAAAGAAAAATGTCTTAAAAATTGAAGAATATATATTAGAAATGAAGATTCCCATCCAGACCTTCATACTTAATAAGTCACAATTTAACTTTGCTGGACATTCCTAATCTGAATGCCTTTAAACATGTTAAAGTATAATTATATTCTGTATATCTGAAAACTGGTTAATTC